CTGGCCTCTTCAAGAAAGGTCCAGCCCATCTCGACTATCCAGTCTCCGAAAGCTACGAGGGTCCACTCGATGACACGAACCGAGCCTACGACATTGACGGCCACCCATTGAGCACTCACGTCTCTGTCTACCACAGTGGAAGATCCGATGAACCAGTCACGGTTGTCCACGAAGAGAAATCCGAAGTTGGAGAGAAAGAGAAGGGACCAAGCTTCACTGACAAATTGGCTGGCCTCTTCAAGAAAGGTCCAGCCCATCTCGACTATCCAGTCTCCGAAAGCTACGAGGGTCCACTCGATGACACGAACCGAGCCTACGACATTGACGGCCACCCATTGAGCACTCACGTCTCTGTCTACCACAGTGGAAGATCCGATGAACCAGTCACGGTTGTCCACGAAGAGAAATCCGAAGTTGGAGAGAAAGAGAAGGGACCAAGCTTCACTGACAAATTGGCTGGCCTCTTCAAGAAAGGTCCAGCCCATCTCGACTATCCAGTCTCCGAAAGCTACGAGGGTCCACTCGATGACACGAACCGAGCCTACGACATTGACGGCCACCCATTGAGCACTCACGTCTCTGTCTACCACAGTGGAAGATCCGATGAACCAGTCACGGTTGTCCACGAAGAGAAATCCGAAGTTGGAGAGAAAGAGAAGGGACCAAGCTTCACTGACAAATTGGCTGGCCTCTTCAAGAAAGGTCCAGCCCATCTCGACTATCCAGTCTCCGAAAGCTACGAGGGTCCACTCGATGACACGAACCGAGCCTACGACATTGACGGCCACCCATTGAGCACTCACGTCTCTGTCTACCACAGTGGAAGATCCGATGAACCAGTCACGGTTGTCCACGAAGAGAAATCCGAAGTTGGAGAGAAAGAGAAGGGACCAAGCTTCACTGACAAATTGGCTGGCCTCTTCAAGAAAGGTCCAGCCCATCTCGACTATCCAGTCTCCGAAAGCTACGAGGGTCCACTCGATGACACGAACCGAGCCTACGACATTGACGGCCACCCATTGAGCACTCACGTCTCTGTCTACCACAGTGGAAGATCCGATGAACCAGTCACGGTTGTCCACGAAGAGAAATCCGAAGTTGGAGAGAAAGAGAAGGGACCAAGCTTCACTGACAAATTGGCTGGCCTCTTCAAGAAAGGTCCAGCCCATCTCGACTATCCAGTCTCCGAAAGCTACGAGGGTCCACTCGATGACACGAACCGAGCCTACGACATTGACGGCCACCCATTGAGCACTCACGTCTCTGTCTACCACAGTGGAAGATCCGATGAACCAGTCACGGTTGTCCACGAAGAGAAATCCGAAGTTGGAGAGAAAGAGAAGGGACCAAGCTTCACTGACAAATTGGCTGGCCTCTTCAAGAAAGGTCCAGCCCATCTCGACTATCCAGTCTCCGAAAGCTACGAGGGTCCACTCGATGACACGAACCGAGCCTACGACATTGACGGCCACCCATTGAGCACTCACGTCTCTGTCTACCACAGTGGAAGATCCGATGAACCAGTCACGGTTGTCCACGAAGAGAAATCCGAAGTTGGAGAGAAAGAGAAGGGACCAAGCTTCACTGACAAATTGGCTGGCCTCTTCAAGAAAGGTCCAGCCCATCTCGACTATCCAGTCTCCGAAAGCTACGAGGGTCCACTCGATGACACGAACCGAGCCTACGACATTGACGGCCACCCATTGAGCACTCACGTCTCTGTCTACCACAGTGGAAGATCCGATGAACCAGTCACGGTTGTCCACGAAGAGAAATCCGAAGTTGGAGAGAAAGAGAAGGGACCAAGCTTCACTGACAAATTGGCTGGCCTCTTCAAGAAAGGTCCAGCCCATCTCGACTATCCAGTCTCCGAAAGCTACGAGGGTCCACTCGATGACACGAACCGAGCCTACGACATTGACGGCCACCCATTGAGCACTCACGTCTCTGTCTACCACAGTGGAAGATCCGATGAACCAGTCACGGTTGTCCACGAAGAGAAATCCGAAGTTGGAGAGAAAGAGAAGGGACCAAGCTTCACTGACAAATTGGCTGGCCTCTTCAAGAAAGGTCCAGCCCATCTCGACTATCCAGTCTCCGAAAGCTACGAGGGTCCACTCGATGACACGAACCGAGCCTACGACATTGACGGCCACCCATTGAGCACTCACGTCTCTGTCTACCACAGTGGAAGATCCGATGAACCAGTCACGGTTGTCCACGAAGAGAAATCCGAAGTTGGAGAGAAAGAGAAGGGACCAAGCTTCACTGACAAATTGGCTGGCCTCTTCAAGAAAGGTCCAGCCCATCTCGACTATCCAGTCTCCGAAAGCTACGAGGGTCCACTCGATGACACGAACCGAGCCTACGACATTGACGGCCACCCATTGAGCACTCACGTCTCTGTCTACCACAGTGGAAGATCCGATGAACCAGTCACGGTTGTCCACGAAGAGAAATCCGAAGTTGGAGAGAAAGAGAAGGGACCAAGCTTCACTGACAAATTGGCTGGCCTCTTCAAGAAAGGTCCAGCCCATCTCGACTATCCAGTCTCCGAAAGCTACGAGGGTCCACTCGATGACACGAACCGAGCCTACGACATTGACGGCCACCCATTGAGCACTCACGTCTCTGTCTACCACAGTGGAAGATCCGATGAACCAGTCACGGTTGTCCACGAAGAGAAATCCGAAGTTGGAGAGAAAGAGAAGGGACCAAGCTTCACTGACAAATTGGCTGGCCTCTTCAAGAAAGGTCCAGCCCATCTCGACTATCCAGTCTCCGAAAGCTACGAGGGTCCACTCGATGACACGAACCGAGCCTACGACATTGACGGCCACCCATTGAGCACTCACGTCTCTGTCTACCACAGTGGAAGATCCGATGAACCAGTCACGGTTGTCCACGAAGAGAAATCCGAAGTTGGAGAGAAAGAGAAGGGACCAAGCTTCACTGACAAATTGGCTGGCCTCTTCAAGAAAGGTCCAGCCCATCTCGACTATCCAGTCTCCGAAAGCTACGAGGGTCCACTCGATGACACGAACCGAGCCTACGACATTGACGGCCACCCATTGAGCACTCACGTCTCTGTCTACCACAGTGGAAGATCCGATGAACCAGTCACGGTTGTCCACGAAGAGAAATCCGAAGTTGGAGAGAAAGAGAAGGGACCAAGCTTCACTGACAAATTGGCTGGCCTCTTCAAGAAAGGTCCAGCCCATCTCGACTATCCAGTCTCCGAAAGCTACGAGGGTCCACTCGATGACACGAACCGAGCCTACGACATTGACGGCCACCCATTGAGCACTCACGTCTCTGTCTACCACAGTGGAAGATCCGATGAACCAGTCACGGTTGTCCACGAAGAGAAATCCGAAGTTGGAGAGAAAGAGAAGGGACCAAGCTTCACTGACAAATTGGCTGGCCTCTTCAAGAAAGGTCCAGCCCATCTCGACTATCCAGTCTCCGAAAGCTACGAGGGTCCACTCGATGACACGAACCGAGCCTACGACATTGACGGCCACCCATTGAGCACTCACGTCTCTGTCTACCACAGTGGAAGATCCGATGAACCAGTCACGGTTGTCCACGAAGAGAAATCCGAAGTTGGAGAGAAAGAGAAGGGACCAAGCTTCACTGACAAATTGGCTGGCCTCTTCAAGAAAGGTCCAGCCCATCTCGACTATCCAGTCTCCGAAAGCTACGAGGGTCCACTCGATGACACGAACCGAGCCTACGACATTGACGGCCACCCATTGAGCACTCACGTCTCTGTCTACCACAGTGGAAGATCCGATGAACCAGTCACGGTTGTCCACGAAGAGAAATCCGAAGTTGGAGAGAAAGAGAAGGGACCAAGCTTCACTGACAAATTGGCTGGCCTCTTCAAGAAAGGTCCAGCCCATCTCGACTATCCAGTCTCCGAAAGCTACGAGGGTCCACTCGATGACACGAACCGAGCCTACGACATTGACGGCCACCCATTGAGCACTCACGTCTCTGTCTACCACAGTGGAAGATCCGATGAACCAGTCACGGTTGTCCACGAAGAGAAATCCGAAGTTGGAGAGAAAGAGAAGGGACCAAGCTTCACTGACAAATTGGCTGGCCTCTTCAAGAAAGGTCCAGCCCATCTCGACTATCCAGTCTCCGAAAGCTACGAGGGTCCACTCGATGACACGAACCGAGCCTACGACATTGACGGCCACCCATTGAGCACTCACGTCTCTGTCTACCACAGTGGAAGATCCGATGAACCAGTCACGGTTGTCCACGAAGAGAAATCCGAAGTTGGAGAGAAAGAGAAGGGACCAAGCTTCACTGACAAATTGGCTGGCCTCTTCAAGAAAGGTCCAGCCCATCTCGACTATCCAGTCTCCGAAAGCTACGAGGGTCCACTCGATGACACGAACCGAGCCTACGACATTGACGGCCACCCATTGAGCACTCACGTCTCTGTCTACCACAGTGGAAGATCCGATGAACCAGTCACGGTTGTCCACGAAGAGAAATCCGAAGTTGGAGAGAAAGAGAAGGGACCAAGCTTCACTGACAAATTGGCTGGCCTCTTCAAGAAAGGTCCAGCCCATCTCGACTATCCAGTCTCCGAAAGCTACGAGGGTCCACTCGATGACACGAACCGAGCCTACGACATTGACGGCCACCCATTGAGCACTCACGTCTCTGTCTACCACAGTGGAAGATCCGATGAACCAGTCACGGTTGTCCACGAAGAGAAATCCGAAGTTGGAGAGAAAGAGAAGGGACCAAGCTTCACTGACAAATTGGCTGGCCTCTTCAAGAAAGGTCCAGCCCATCTCGACTATCCAGTCTCCGAAAGCTACGAGGGTCCACTCGATGACACGAACCGAGCCTACGACATTGACGGCCACCCATTGAGCACTCACGTCTCTGTCTACCACAGTGGAAGATCCGACGAACACGTATCTGTGCTCCACAAGGAAAAGTCAGATGGAGTTGATTCGGAGTTTTACGAGACCATGGCCCGGGATGAAGAGATTGCAGTTGAGCCTCTATCTAGTCATATTTCGGTCTACACTCCTCCAACAATCACCACGACGGTTTCCGTAATAAAGACCGCAAGGAACAGGATTTTGACCGAGCCAGAACCTGTTTGGGTTCCGGAAACAGGTAAGCCCGGAATGTCTGCTGAGGCGACAGAGCTAGACTACGCTCCACTAGCAACTCACATATCAGTTTACCATCGAGAGGTTGCCGATACTGAAGTCGATCTGCTGAAAGGAGCAAAGGGTCGTCTGAGAGAGTTAGAAGTCGAAAAGTTGGAAACCACTCAGACGAAGGCTAGTGGTACCGAGCGGCAGCGTCCAGAGAGTTGGATGCCGATCGAGCTATGGGAACATCTTTACGGAACAAGGCAAACCCAACCAACAATACCACTAAGTGAACGAGCACAGATCGAGGAAGAGCTCTGGCGACACTATTATCGTTTGAACGAAGAACGAAACACTTATGCAACACGTGGCCCATTAGAAAATGGAGCCAAAGAGTTACAAAGTGACGACGAACTCTGGAGACATTACTATAGGCTGTTGGAGGAGAGAACCCACGAAAGAAGAAGCCCTCGTCCATTGGCGCTGCATGAGGGCCCGTGGATGTCACCACCGCCCAGTGAACAAACGTCACCACTAGGCTTCTCGGTTGAGTTGAGAGCTCATGAACCGCCACGGAAGATCTATGAAGAGCTGAGGCCGTCATCGAGGCAAATTGTAACACCAAGGAGTGTTGAGCCGAGAAGGGAGAGACGTCTGTCACCACATCACTGGACTACAGTACACGAGAGGACTACCGTGTCATATGTGAAACGGATGACGTTGAGCCGATCGCCGATCAGAGGGCATGCGCAGAGTGAACCGCCGGCGACTCTGTATCGATCGACGAGACCTGCTGCTAGTGCGCCGACGAGTAAATCGCCGACAGGCCGCTCTCGACCCTGGACTACTTTCGATAGCATGCAGGTTGGCATTGAGATTTTTTCCTTTAGTCTTTAGTTTTATTTTTTTTAAGTGATAGTATGAATTTGGCTAGTTTAAGACTTGGCTGCAGTCTGGTCAAGATTAACATCAAAATAACCAATATCGAATCAAACCCAATCCAGGTGCATCACCCGATCTTGCCACCGCGTTCCTCAGTGCCAGCCACAGTCAATGTGGACCGTAGCCAATCAATGCATCGCGAACAAGACCATCACACGTACAAAAAGACGAAAGCCGAGAAGAAACAACGCCAAACGTACACTGGCGCGTACTCGGCTGTGGCTGAGACGAGCCACGCGGCGCAGGTGCACAAACCCGCCTACTACACGCACACCGAGCACAAGGTAAAGGAAATTGCAAAAAAATGGCTTTTATTAAAATATTATCCTAACCTGGTAATTATTATTATTATTATTATTATTATTATTATTAGAGGCAGCTTTTTTTTTGGCGCAATCTATAGGTTCAATTTTTGGCAAAATGTTAATGAAAATTAAACTTTATAAACAGTAACTTAATAAATAGTAACTTAATAAACAGTAACCGGTTAAAATGTACACCTTTTCTATAGTTAAAAAGAAGATAAAAGGGTTAAAACGTTAGTGTAAACACACAACGCCTTCTGGCACCCAATCCGGCTATGTGCAATTACCCAACTTTAACGTTTTGTCGCTTATTTCACAATGAATTTTTTGTGAACTTTCGGAAATTTCATATTCTTTAACCTAATAAATAAATAAACCTAATAAATTTACTATCTGATACAAATTAAAAGCTTATTTAGGTTTACCGAGTTCCCCATGGAACAGTGAAAGAAATCGCGGCCATCGACAGAACAGAACTCTACGAACGAGTCGACTCACCATTGGTATGTTGAGCTTAAGCTCTTTGAGAAATATGGCAGTTCGAGCAATTGATTTTAGAGCAGAGCTGTTCATTTGTCGCTCTAATTGTCAATACAGCGGAAAAACGAGATTTTACCACTTCCAGAGTCCATTTTTTTTAGACCAAAAGCTAGAGCAAAAGCCAAAAGCTAGACCAAAAGCCAAAACTCTACCTTTATGTAGCAAGAAATCCCAAAAAAGTTGATGATAAAGTGGACAAGTCTCTTGCTGTGCTCTTGCCTTGCCAATCTCCCAACATTTGACAAAATAATCAAACTTTCAGGGTGTCGAAGCAGTCTCGTCGAACGAGGCGGTTCGAATGCGCACCTCGCTTCGCCAGCAACGCGTGGTCGCCCGACTTCGGCACGACGATGAGCGAAACACGGACTATCTCGTTTATCAAGTGAGCTTTTCTAAGCGCAAAAGCTTTTCTAAGCTGTTTTCCACACCTATCACTTCATAAACATTAACAAAAATCGATTCACAAATCAAGCAATCACTCCAAAACCGAAACCCAACTTTTGCCAAGGATTTAAAAAATCCCACTATCAAACAATGACTAACAAAACTCAAAAGTCTCTTCTAGACAAGCGGTCTCGTCGAGCGACCGATCGAGCAACGAATGAACGAGCTGCCGCCGATCGAGTTCGACGCCTATTCCTGCCGGGGATCCCATGCACGAGTTCCTCTACCCCCAGGAGAATATCAAGTACTACACTTTTTTAATCAATTAGTCACTTCAAAACAATTGCATGCATTGAATACGCAATCAACCACACTAAAAAAACCAGACTCAATCAAACTGGGAAATCTATTTCGGTGCAGATAAAGTGCAAAAAGTGAGCTGGCGCAGAGTTTTAAACTTTTAAAAGTTTGCTCTATTGCTTGCTGACTACGGTAAAGATATCTGGTAGAAGATATTTTGGTACTTTCGTATTTTTGCTCAGTTAATATGCAAATTGATCTTTGATCTTTGATCTTTGACGTCTTAATCCATCACTGAATTCTAGCTTATTTTATCCAGTTTTGATATGTTTTTGAATAGATTTGAGCTAGAATTAATGAATATAAACTAAATAAAGTTATTTATAGCTGTTTATAGTTGTTTATAGCTGTTTATAGCTGTTCATAGCTGTTTATAGCTGTTTATAGCTGTTTATAGTTGTTTATAGCTGTTTATAGTTGTTTATAGCTGTTTATAGCTGTTCATAGCTGTTTCATAGCTGTTCATAGCTGTTCATAGCTGTTCATAGCTATTTATAGCTGTTTATTATAATCATTTATACTATTTTTCTCTTATCTTTACCAAAATCGAGAAATGTTGGGGGAAATTTTGATTGCTTTGGTTTTAGCGGGGCAAATACGGAAGTAGCAACTATTTTTTTAATGATTTACTTGAAAGACTCACGATAAACCTTATTCTTCAACAATTCCAGGAATTGGATCCAAGATTGATGTCGGAGGAGGAGCTGACTCGGCGTCGGCGTCCGATTAAACGCGCCCGGCAACGAATGCGCAACATCTGCACGATGCTTTAAGGAAAAACTCCCAAATCCCAAAATCAATCTTCTTTTTGCCACCAATAGGATTTTCAAATTTCTCAATTTTTGTGGTTTCTCAATTGAGGTTTTTATGCCAGACCGATTTTTTTGGTTTCACAATTTCAGCCGATCCATTTTCATTCATCCATGATTCAAAAAAAACCTTTAAGCCTAAACACGACCGATCGAATCTTAAGAAAATGAATTTTTCATTTTTTCGATATTTTTTTGTTACATTTGAGCGACGTGAATGATTTTTTTCCCTAAGGATTCTAAAAAAATCTCCACAATCTGCCGTGTGGTCGTTTTTTTTTAGAAGAGACGGAGCCTGATGATTTTTGATTTTAGAATTTTAGAATTTGCATTTATAATGGTGAAATGGGTTGCTTTAAAATTCGTACAATCTACCGTAATCCACTGTACAATCTACCGTAATCCACTTGGTAGTTTCTGAAACTTTTCTGAAAGTTGCTACAGTAAACCCCGCTATGCCTTAAAATTGGACTTAAGCTACCGTGATTGGTAGTTGATTGATAGTTGATTTAAATTTCCACAAGCTAGCGTAATCCCATACGTACGCTATGGAAGCTGGCTGTAGCTATGGAAGCTAGCTGTGGCTATTCAAGCTAGCTTTCGCTATAGAAACTGACTGTGGCTATGGAAAAGCTGTCAAAAATGAGGCTAACATGCTCAAAACAGGTCAAATCTACTGAACTTGTTACTGTAAATAACTAAAGCTTATCTAATCCATCGAAAAATTGAGCTCATCTCTGCCACCATCTGCCGGGTGGTCATTGTTCTGAGTTTAATTGAAAATCGTTGTTCGAAAATTGAATCCAACTTTATTTATTCGAAAAAAGTACACCCATTTCATCAATATTCTTGAAAAACCAGGATCCAGGACACAAAATCAGGCTCTTGTTGCCACAAAATCAAGCTCCAGCCAAAGAATTTCCCCCGAGCGTGTGTATTTTTTAGCTTTCGCTAGCCGAATTTTCTTTTTCCCTACGAGTTTTTCTTGTTCCCCTTTTCCCAGATTTGTTTTCCCCAGAAAATCTCTCATTTTCTCGTCCCAGACGATCCCCCACAATTCGAAAGAATTACGCGAATATCTTTTGCGATGCGAATATCTTTTGCGATGCTTACTGTTGTTTTCCCATTTTTTTTTCTCACTTCGGGTCACATTTCCGTGTGGTTTCGCAATGTGACTTTAGCGATCATTTAGAGAAATGTATATTCTTTAAGCAATTTCTCGTTTTGCATATTTCTCAGCCGATCTGCAGAGTATTTATAAAGTTTTTCAACTATTCTCTTTGAAAAGCACAAACGATACTTGGAGGTACACTTTGACGTCGTTCCCACAGAGATCCACGTTCCTACAGAGATCCACGTTCCTACAGATGTTCACGTTCCTACAGAGATCCACGTTCCTACAGAGATCCACGTTCCTCCAGAGATCCACTTTCCTCCAGAGATCCACGTTCCTACAGAGATCCACGTTCCTACAGAGATCCACGTTCCTACAGAGATCCACTTTCCTACAGAGATCCACGTTCCTACAGAGATCCACGTTCCTACAGAGATCCACACTCCTACAGAGATCCAAGTTCCTACAGATGTTCACGTTCCTACAGAGATAAAATTGTGTTTTATTCATTTTGTAAATTAACTTTTCTGTATTTAAATTAACTTTTCTGTATTTAAATTAACCTTTCTATATTTAACACCAAATTAGATTTCGTTTCATTGTAAAACAACAAGAGATGTTAACAAAAGCAGTGAGCAAAATACTCATGCTCACCTAAAATGAGAGATCAACATGAAAATTTAACAACGAAATAATAAAGACGTAAATTTTAACGATCAACAAACGGGATGTCCCGATAAGTGATAGTTGAGCGCGGAACAAAATTGAACAAAATTTGAGAAGAAGGACTTTCCCCTCTTATGAAAAAGGACCTTACCCTCTAAAGTGGCTTGAAAAATTCTATTTAGAGCGACATCAAAAATCTAAGAATATCTTCTTAAAGCTCTTACAAAATAACACAAAAAACTAATTGGGATCGGTTTATTTGAATGCCATTTAAAAGGAGAAAAAAAGGGAAAAAATTGGCCGGCCAAGACTTTTCTTGACGCCTGCATTGGTTTTTTAAAGAATTTACTTTAAACTAATATTTTTAGGATGGCAAGCAGCAACCGGGAGAAAGAAACTAAACTATCATGAAGAAGGTTATGAATATCGCTGTTTCCGTGTCAACAACGGATCGGACGGACGGACGAACAACAACAACGACGGATCGACCACGTATCGGTAAAGGAATTACTGATATGTTCAACATTGAAGGTTTTATTTTAAGTGTTTGACTAAAAGCTGCCCGTCTTTTATCAAAGTGTTGAATACTGTAATGTCAAATCATACGGAGCACAACCACATTCCGTGCTGTCTTCAACAAGCCAGAACGGCCAGTGCAATCTGTGCTGTCTTCAACAAGCTTCTGGCTTGTATAGCACTGGGTACTGCTAAAAAGACTAGATTCAAGAGATTTCTTTTAATCTATTGTCGAACTCGAAATGAATAAGATATTTCTCAGCCTGTGTGTGAGAGTGACGAACCATTTTGAAAGAACTAACGCAGAAAACAAGTAGAGAAACTGAACAGACCATTTATTTTCTAGTACCAGTGAGATTTTGAGAAGTTGTACAAAATTAGCAAACATAAAAAAGAGATTAGGTTCTGTGACCTAAAAAATTAGCATTTAGGGATGCTCAAAGTGATGAGTACGTTAATTTTAAGAAAGTACAATAAAAGATTAATAAATAGACATTGTTAATCAATAAATATTGCCATTGACACGAAGCATAAGAAAAGCCTTTTGCCAATCGGTTATTTTTTGAATGAGTGTTTTTAAGTGATCCGCATCGATTTGTTTCTTCAGCTCATCGAGACTCATCTTGATCACCTCATCATCTTCAAAATCAATATTTTCTTGTACACGGATTGCTCGTGGAATCAACGTGTTTAGATAATTGATCCAGCTATTCAACTCTTTGTCCCATTCATTGATTTGATGGTAAATCGAGGAGAGTACCGAGATACTTGTATCAAAATCAGAAATGAACTTATTCAGCGAGTCGACCCGGTTTCTTTTAGCATTGATTTCCTGGTTCAAGGCAGCAATCGAAGCTAAATTGTTTCATGTTTTATATAAACTTTTGGAATTGATAGATCTTTTAAACAAGCTTCGTATATATTCAAACTGGTGACAAGAGAAATTTTTCAGCTTTTCAATAAGTTTTCAGCTTTTCAATAATTTTTCAGCCAAGTTCTAGGTCTTTTCAAACACAAAAACATTCAAATCACCGTGCATCGAGTTGATCTCGCCGTTTAGCTGAGCAATTCGTGGTTTAAGCGCATCCATTCGCTTTTTCGTGGCCCTGTAGCCAAAGTAGTTGAATCCTAAACAATCAATATTGATTTGATCAAGTTTCTCAATCAATATTTCTTTGATCAAGCTTCTCAATCAATCTCAGTCCAGATCAGCAAACAAGCTGAGCTTCTTCAAGCTTCTTCTTTAATTTCTTCTTGTCCTTATTCTTGCTTCTTCTTTTAACGGTTAAACTTTCTTCCTTTAAAGCTTAAACTCCTTTAAAGCTTAAAGAATAAAATTGCGCGTCGAATGACACCAAAACGTACTCAGAATATAATATCCATGCAAAGTTATGGGGCAAAAAGTTAAGATCCGTCCATAATGGGCGGGGTTTAGGTTTTTAGCCCATAACTTTGTATAGATATTATATTTGACAAACATTTTGGTGTCATTCGACGGGTAATTTCCTTCTGCATCCAACGATAGTCAAAAATCGAAGGGTCGATGCTGAGAAAAAGACGAAAAACCTTAAATTGTCAACGGGGAAAAGGGCAGATATTTTCCTTACAAGAATACAAACTACATCTTTCAAAGATAGAAACTACACTCACCAAAACCAAAGAGCCATCTTCTCTTTTTCTTTCTCTTCTCCTCTTGCTTTTTGTATTCAGCTTCTGCAGCAGAATGTTCTGTTTCAAGCTGAAAAGAAAGAAAAGAAAAGTTTCAAACAAATCATTGAAAATACCTGAGCACGTCGACTATTCGAATCGCCAAGATTCGTATTCAAAGCATTCAGCCGTGCTTCCAACTGTCGAATCTCATTTCCAGCTCGTTCTTTCTCGCGTACATAATTCTCCTTTTCATTCGCAATCGCCAATCGTTGACTATCGATGGAACGCAAAAGATTTTCTTCTTTTGATTTCTCAGTTTGAAGACGTGCAATGAGTGCTTGAATGTTCGTGAAGATTGTCTTTTCGAAAGCATTCGATACACGCATTGTCACCAATTCGGAAAGAAGCTGAAAATTTTGATATTTGTCTCAACTTTATAAGATTTTGTGAAGTTTTGTTACGTTATCTTTCGCAAATAGAATATTCGTCGAAACTCAAAGCTAGGTAAAGCCTTTCCTTTGCTTACTTTACTGAACTTTACTTACTCCTTTATACGAATCAGTGACGGCATTCATTTCACTTTTGTGTTGTGCATAGCTTTGAGCAACTTCTTCCAGCTTCTGTGCCGATTTTGCCATTGGTGCGAGCATGAAAAGACTAAAATTTGGTCAATTCTTTGATTTGATCCAATTGCTTTGATCAATTCTTTGATTTGATCCAATTGCTTTGGTCAATTCAGTCAAATTGAATGAATTACCCACAATATAGAGAAGAATAGGATAGACATCGATCTGGTTATCTGAAAAATTTCTTTTTTTTGATGCAATCAATAAAAGAAATAAAGAGAAAGAGAAGAAAACATAAAAATGATAAATTTAGTTAAGTAATTGAGTTCCATTGAGTAGTTGAGTGATTTGTTTTTGCTGAGAGATCTTTAGACTTTTCCAGTAAATGTCGATTTGTCGCTCAAAACGGGCGTCGAGCTGTTTCTTCTCTGCATCGACAAGCCCTTTCACTCCGGCCATTGTTTTATCATAATGAGAAGCGAAATGCTGTTGTTCAGCCTGGAAATAGGTTAGCTTTCGTTAAATAACTGAATGCTAGTAAATACGGTGCTAATTAGCTATCAATACTTAATTCCATGGATGACCAAAAATCGAGAGAACTGATTAAATGTTAATTGATTAAGATTCAGATTCAGATTCTAAGATAATACCTAGTATTTCGTAGCTTTGTCTTTGATTCTGAGTTTAAAGTCAATAGCCAGCGTCAATAAATTGTCAAAAAGTCAGTACAAATCAACAAAACCTAAAGTCTAAAGAGAATCTGAGTCCTGACTGAATCCTCTTTAGTCCCCACTAACCTTGGCCGAACTTTTCGACAACCCAAACTGGCCACCGACTCGTCCGAGCACTGGAAAAATGTAATCCTTTGAGACGCTGAGATACAGTTTGGCCGAGTTCTCGATTTGTATACAATAGCCGATGAATCTCAGTGAAGTCTCAAGAGAGAACTCTTCAATGAACCCAGTCTAGAAAAAGATTGTAAACAAATTTTGGATCAACTTTGCTACCACTGCCAGTTGCTCGTTGTCTTCAAGCAGCTCGTTGAGATTTTCCCCAATCAACTTCGTTTCGATGACGATTTTAAGCGTCGAAAAGTAGTCGGCCAATTGGCTCCATTGATTTCGAATCTATGAGGTGCTCTTGGAGCAATTAGTCTGTCCAAGAGTGGCTCTTGGAATAGATTAATTGCCAACCTTGCCCAAATGTTGAACAGCTTGTCTGAGCACTTTCATCACTTCTTCCAGATTCACCACCTCTAAATTGATTGATTGAAGCTGGGCGATCACTTCTGCAAAGGCTTCTTTTTCCTTGAGCATCGCATCGAATTGGGCCTTTTCACGAGCACTTTCTTCAGCTAGTCGAGCATTTGCAAGTGACAGTTTGTCCTGAAAAACATGAAACTATCAATTTTCAGCTAAACATCAATTTAGTAGTTGTTTCCATTGAACTTCCGCAATGAAATGGTAACAAATGAATGACAAAACAAATGACTCAAAGCGGTTTTCGTTCTAGTCAAGATTTTTGACTGGGTACAGTGCTTTAAAGGTTCACAACTTTCTCTAGAAGCTGCATTTTTCCTAATCTTTTATATAGTTTTGTAGAGAACTCTACAGGCCTTTAAATGATAACTAAAAGGCTAAAATTGAACAACATTAACTACAGAGAATTGGGCAAAATTGGTTGACTCGGCTTGAACACAAAATCTCTGAATTCTCGCATTCGAAAGCTCTTCCAATTCTATTTTTGGCGCTATAGATCATATCAATCCAACAGATTTGAACCAAGTTAAAAGCGTTTATAGTTTACGTTTGTAGGGCTCATGATTACTTTGTCTACTGTCTAGTAGGGTTATCAAGTCCAATGTGAGTCCGGAATCTCTACATTAACTACAGAGAATTGGGCAAAATTGGTTGACTCGGCTTGAACACAAAATCTCTGAATTTTCTCATGGTTTATCCAGTCGAGCTACTTTTGAATTATTTGATCATTTGAAAGCTCAAAGTATCCAATGTCTAGCTCTTCTCAGATACTAAACCTAACTAAAAAAATGAATGATATTGTCGTTAGAGTTATCAAAGAAATCTATGAAACTTTAAAACCAATGACAATGACGTTTGTACTGTGACAATGACGAATTGTCACAGTACAAACGATTCTAACTTGCTTCAAATCTACCGGATTGAGATGATCTATAGCTCAATAGAGAAAAATAGAGAATTTAAAGAGCTTTTGAGCTTTGGACTAAAGACTAAAGAGCTTTAGACTAAAGAACACTTAAAAAGATTAATTCTAAAGAAATTTATAATAGTTGATAGTCTGACTCAACCGCTTCGACTACAAACTACTATAACTTTCTTTAGAGTTGACACTGCTCAGTGTGCTTCAGATTTAGCAGATTTGAGCCAAGTTAGAAGCGTTTGTAGTTTGCAGTGCCCTTGTCTACTTCAAATTCATTTTTGCTAGGTTAGGTCCATTGTCCCGATGTCCCATTTTCACCATTTTCACAGATTTGAACCAAGTTAAAAGCGTTTATAGTTTACGTTTGTAGTTTGTAGGGCTCATGACTACTTTGTCTACTGTCTAGTAGGGTTATCAAGTCCAATGTGAGTCCGGAATCTCACCTTATCGATTCTTTCCAATCTGGCCATTGTTGATTCTGAATTCAAATTTCCATTACTCATTCCATCAAAAGGATCACTTCCCGACTGTGATCCTGGATTGTCATTCGTGTTTTTATTAGCATCACCTTTATCAGCACCACTCGCAGCCATAGCACCGCCAGTATAAACTGTCATAAATGCTTGTGGTATAAAAGAAACAAGATCAATGGCTGCTGCGGCAAGCATTCGCCCAAGCTTTCCCGTTTTATCGTACTGCTTCTGAAATTAAGTGCATTGGAGGGCAATTAGTTCAATCTCACCTGAAACTCTTTCAACGCTCTCTTTCGGTCCTCCTGTATCTCTTTATATCGCCGCTCAATATCTTTCAACTTTTCTCTCATACTAGCTTCTCGTTGAGCAAGAAAGATCGACGTGTTCTTGTGTTGTCCCACTACAACTTGATTCCGCGATTCAGCTCCCATTGTCGCTTGTTGAAGCTCATCAATTTCGTAGAGTACTTGTTGAAAAGTGATCGTTGTGTTGATTGCAACATCATGACACGTTTTGGCTGCTCTCTCGATACGTTTATTGATTCTTTTGTATGCAAAGGCCACTCTCGATCGATCTTTCATCTAAATTTAGCTACTATAATTAACATAAAATGAAAAAAAACCTTTGCGGTGTGTCGAATTGTGTTTGTCAACAATGTTGGCAAGTCGATTAATGACTGTTCAATGATGACCATCGACGAGTGTGCATATCGAAAGCCATCGGTCAAACTGGTGGCCACTTGAAGGAGCGCAACGTGAAGCCAATCGTATTTCAAATACTTAAAACCACCAGTCGGTGGCACGAGTTTCGTGTCGTCTGTCGATGAAGCGATCACTGCCAAGTTGTTTATCAATAGCACCGATGCTGGCGCCTCATAGAGGAGAAATATCGAATTGCCGAGACGAGATGATCCCTCCAAGACTTCGTTGATCGTGAGCTAAAAGGATTTCAATTGATTTGAAAGATTTTGAATGTGATTTAAAGATCAATCACACCCATACAGTTAACAAGATAAAATTGAATCGATTGATCATTGCGTAAAGTTTATTATGACTAACGACGTGCTGTTAACATCAAAATGCAGTTTATTGTGACTAACGACGTGCTGTTAGCATCAAAATGCAGTTTATTATGACTAACGACGCCCTGTTGGCATCAAAATGCAAATGCATAAAAATAAAGCTCACATGCCGAGAGAGTTGGGTTTCCCTTTCTAGTGCTTCTTCAAATGTCAAGCTTTCCGTAACAACTTGCAATTCCTGGGCTTCACTAAAGATATTGATACAATTACAAAGCTTTTTAAAAAGTACTAAAAACACTTACCAAAAACACTTACCTAAAAACAAAGAAAGAACATAATAGCAAAAGCTTAGCAGAAGAGCTCATTGTTAAGCTCATTGTTAAGCTCATTCTTAAGCTCATTGTTAAGCTCATTGTTGCGTTGTTCTTGGTCAGCAAGTCTCAAATCTATCACTTTTATAGTCTCATCAATCCTTCATCGCATTAACACTTTTTTCGGAATCAAAGCGTTAATATTTACACAGATGCTATTTTGACCCAGACACAAGCCCTAGTCTTTGTGTATCTTTGTTTTTTTTTGTTTAGGCAAGCTCAAAATGTATACAGATTGTACAGTCAATGCTATTCAAGTATGCATTTTGTACAATTTTCCATAAGAAAAAGTACTTCAATGGCTTAAAGAGGAAAGCTCTGTGGCACTCTGTTTGATCTTATTGTTTAACAATGTCTATTTATTGTTTAACAATGTCTATTTATTGATTAACAATGTCTATTTATTAATCTTTTATTGTACTTTCTTAAAATTAACGTACTCGTCACCTTGAGCATCCCTAAATGCTAATTTTTCAGGTCACAGAACCTAATCTCTTTTTTATGTATGCTAATTTTGTACAACTTCTCAAAATCTCACTGGTACTAGAAAATAAATGGTCTGTTCAGTTTCTCTGCTTGTTTTCTGCGTTAGTTGTTTCAAAATGGTTTGTCACTCTCACACACAGGCTGAGAAATATCTTATTCATTTCGAGTTCTACAATAGATTGAAAGAAATCTCTTGAATCTAGTCTTTTTAGCAGTACCCAGTACAAGCCAGAAGCTTGTTGAAGACAGCACGGAATGTGGTTGTGCTCCGTATGATTTGACGTTACAGCATTCAACACTTTGATAAAAGACGGGCAGCTTTTAGTCAAACACCTAAAATAAAACCTTCAATGTTGAACATATCAGTAATTCCTTTACCGATACGTGGTCGATCCGTCTTTGTTGTTGTTGTCCGTTCGTCCGATCCGTTGTTGACACGGAAGCGGCGATATTCATAACCTTCTTCATCATAGTTTAGTTCTTTCTCCCGGTTGTTGCTTTCCATCCTAAAAATATTAGTTTAAAGTAAATTCTTTAAAAAACAATGCAGGCGTCAAGAAAAGTCTTGGCCGGCCAATTTTTTCCCTTTTTTTTCTCCCGTTAAATCGCATTCAATAAAATCGATCCCAATTAGTTTTTTGTGTTATTTTGTGAGAGCTTTAAGAAGATATTCTTAGATTTTTGATGTCGCTCTAAATAGAATTTTTCAAGCCACTTTAGCATAAGAGGGTAAAGTCCTTCCTCTCAGATTTTGTTCAATTTTGTTCCGCGCTCAACTATCACTTATTGGGAAATCCCGTTTGTTGGTCGTTAAAATTTACGTCTTTATTATTTCGTTGTTAAATTTTCATGTTGATCTCTCATTTTAGGTGAGCATGGGTATTTTTGTTAACCTCTCTTGTTGTTTTACAATAAAAAGAAATCTAATCTGGTGTTAGAAACAGAAAAGTTCACGTGTACAAGTTTATTGAATCTCTGTAGGTGCTATACAAGCCAGAAGCTTGTTGAAGACAGCACAGATTGCACTGGCCGTTCTTCTAGAAAGCAATGAGAAATGTTCTGAGTTAATCTTATGGACAAAACGTACTAAAAAGAATAAATGGTGTGTTTAGTTTCCTTCAAAAAAAACTAGATTCCTACTGAGATAAAAACGAATACAAACAATCACATTAGAAGTCACATTTCTGAGCATTCAAAAACGTCGAAATTTCTGGAAAAGCTTTATTCTCATCAGGTTCACATTGACGCTAAGATCGGTTCGTTCAGATTGACACTAAAATCCGTTCGTTTACATTGACACTAAAATTCGTTCATTTACATTGACACTAAGATTCCGCGAGCAAGATCTCACCACAGCAACTCCAAAAAGATCGAATGATGTCGAGTTTGGGGACCCTTCCAAATTCCGTCGCGAGTCTCAGAGTTTGGGAACTGTTCTATTTTACTCTATATTTTACTCTATACTCTATCTATTTTACTCTCAATGATCAGATCGACTTGAGGCTGGTTTTAAAATGATTCTCATTAAATTTCGTTATAGAAAAGTACAATTTATCTTGCATTTAAGTTTTTAAGCGAAATATCCTTTAGCTGAAATGGGGATTTTCTCATTTTTCTCATCAATGAACTTTGAATTGATCGAATTGAAGCATTCAATCAAAAAAGAACTCTTTTCGAGTCACTACAACTCATTCAACAAACAGGCATTCAACAAACAGGCACTAAAAGCAAAACCTTTCATTTTTCTTCGTATTCTGATGCTATTCTGATGATAAAATGACTTCTATTCGATGCTAGTGTCGATCATTGACTGCTGGGGGATATGCTAAAAAGAAGATTGGTTCAGCTTTGCTTCTAAAGATGGTTAGTCTTTTGCTTCTAAAGATGGTTCATCTTTTGCTTCTAAAGATGGTTCATCTTTTGCTTCTAAAGATGGTTCAGCTTTTACTTCAACAGCTCATTTCTTAATCAATCAAGAAAGCAATACCAAAAGGGTTGTTGATTTTGCGAAAGGATTTCTTGCAAAATCGGTTTAAAAAAGGTGAATCTCTAATAATAAGCTGACTAAGATAAGAATAAAACGACTTTTCTTTGAAAAATTTCTCTAAAAAACGATAAACCATACTTCGCTCTCCATAAAATATCATTTTTTAAGAGAATAAAGAAAACAATTCTCTTTAGCAACAAAAAATAACTCACAGCTTTTGCGCTAAATGCTTTTTATGACACAAAAAGATAAGAATAAAGATAAGAAGTATTTAAGCACTTTTAAAAAGCGTTTTATTTCACGAAACTTTCACTAGCTTTCACTAACTTTCGCTTGAACTAAAATGAAATGTTTTTTGATGATTTTCGCGTTAACAGCTTTGATTTTGATCATCAAATGCAACGAAATCGAGAAAGAAAATGCAATCATTGAAAGTAAGCTTTGTTTTGACGTTCTATTCAACTTTGTCTATTCAGTTAGCATGGATTTTTTTAAAAGAGATAGTATTTGAAGCGCCATGTGCAAAAGAGCGCCATGTGCAAAAGAGCGCCATGTGCAAAAGAGCGCCATGTGCAAAAGAGCGCCATGTGCAAAAGAGCGCCATGTGCAAAAGAGCGCCATGTGCAAAAGAGCGCCATGTGCAAAAGAGCGCCATGTGCAAAAGAGCGCCATGTGCAAAAGTCTTTTGCACCACGATTTTCAGGGGTGTTTTGACAATTATATTTTTTTCTCAATGAATAAGTGTTGTCTAGCGATAACGTTTGTGTGAATAAATTGTACATATATTTGTACATATATTTGTACATATATTTGTACATATATTTGTACATATATTTGCACATATTTGTGTACATATATTTGTGTACATATATTTGTGTACATATATTTGTGTACATATATTTGTGTACATATATTTGTGTACATATATTTGTGTACATATATTTGTGTACATATATTTGTGTACATATATTTGTGTAACTAAAACTATTAATGGCTTAAAGAGCATGAGCTTTATCAAAGAAAATTGATGAAACTTTTTAGAAAATTGAATGTGAAAAGACTTTTGCACATGACTGTACACTACTGGACAATGAAATATCGTCATTGAAAAACGATCGTCACTTTCGCGCGTCTGTAACTCCCGTGTCTTTACCGTATTTCTAAATATTAATATTACCATTGTGTAGCCCTTGAAAAGAGCTTTCAGAAAATGTATAACACAAATAGTTTAAACTCAAAAACAAGGGAGTTACAGACGCGTGAAAGTGACGATCGTTTTTCAAATATCATATTTCATTGTCCAATACTGTAGACTACATAAACTAAAATTCTAAGCTAATCTCGACATTTTTCTTGATATTGTTTCTAGTTTTAAACTTACATTCGCTTAGAAAGCTAATTATTTAGCTCTCTAAGCTAATTATTTAGCTCTCTAAGCTAAAAAAAGAGAATTTAAAGTTAGGCGGTTGATTTATCTAAAAAATAGATGAAAATGATGTTATCGTTGGCGAGAGACGGGCCCAAAGACATCGTCGATCGTGCTTTTTCTGCTGCTATCCCTGTAGCCGATGCCCGGGCGGCTTCCGTCCTGGTCACTGTGGAATCTGTTGTCCATTCTCAAAGAAGAAAACTCAATGGAATTTCAAATGCATTCTTTTGTCCTGGTGTTAAGCGAGAAATTTGCGTCTTTTTCATTTCATTTAGTCATTTTTCTTTTCTCTTTTTGATTTAGTCCAATCCATTGAAACTTATCACTTCTTTCTTACTTCCTTCTTTACTTCTTCCTTCTTTACTTCTTCCTTACTTTCGTCTTCTTCCTTCCTTCGTCTTCCGTCCTTCTTCCATCCTTCTTCCATCCTTCTTCCATCCTTCTTCCATCCTTCTTCCTTCTTCTTCCATCCTTCTTCCATCCTTCTTCCATCCTTCTTCCTTCTTCTTCCATCCTTCTTCCATCCTTCTTCCACCTTCTTCCATCCTTCTTCCTTCTTCTTCCATCCTTCTTCCTTCTTCTTCCATCCTTCTTCCATCCTTCTTCCTTCTTCTTCCATCCTTCTTCCATCCTTCTTCCATCCTTCTCCCTTCCATCTTCCTTACTCAACTTTATTGTGCAACTGTTTCTAATAAATCTTAATCACACAATCAATCTCAAATTACATTTTAATAGGGTTGATTGAATGATTGCCTTTTTTTGGCTCGATTCCCCTCAACCCAAGATCTGATTCGTTTGGTTAGTCTCGTTAAGTTCGTGGAATTTATGGACTTACAAGAGAAGTTCACAAAATCAAGATGGCTAATCGAAATGAAACCATCCGATGCAGAATTTGACGCTGATTCCGAATCTGCTGTCTGCTAACTATAAAACAGTTGTTCAGGAAAAGAAAACCATCGACCTACAGCTTTACATTCACGTTATCCGTTACACTAACCATTGCTTTCTCGCGCGCGCAGAAGTTTAGAGAAGCTTAGAGAAGCTAAAAGAGAGGCCAAAAACTTGTCTACCAAATTCCTTGCCATTCCGACTTATTTACGGACAGCAGATTTGGAAAAAGCGTAAAATTCTGCATCAGATGGTCTAGGTTTCATTTCGATAGGCCATCTTGATTTCGTGAACTTTCCTGTCAGCTTGTCAGCTTCCCTTGTCATCTAAGCAGTTCAAAACATGTATTAGATTGTCATAGATGTCATAGATGAAATGTTCGACACTTTGTTATGCCCGTAAATTTTCATTTCATCATAGATTTCTTTTATATTTTGATATTATCGTATTTTCTCTAGTTGATCACTATTTTCCCGCTTTCAAAGCTTTCACAGAAGCTCAACACTCAAATCCCCTAAAAGATCTCATCGTCAGCTACATTTTCCGATCCCACATCGATAGGTTTTGATAAGCGCTTTTCGAGATTTCGAGGAATTTAGGCGACGGGTGCACTACTATTAGAGAAAATACGGTATATACAAAAACTCGAGTTTAACAGGGCAAAGTATAGTACTTCTTGTACTTCTTGGTACTTCTTGGAATAGAGAACATTTCAGGCTTTCAAATGATACCAAATAGAGCTTTATTGGGTTTTTTCATTCCCATAAAAATCAGCCGACAAAACACCCGAGTTGCACCGGCCTTATTTGCTCAGAGTTGGCTCTGATTTTGTTGGACTCAATTATCCAATCAAGCTCTATTTGGTATCATTTGAAAGCCTAAAATGTCCTCTATTCAATGATATAAAAAGCTAACAAGAATCTAATCTCTGGACAAAGTTATAGGCCTTCAAAGTGTGACGATCCTTTCGAAATACTAGGATTCTTTCAAAATACTCGAATTCTTTCAGAATATCGGTATATAGTAGAAGTATGAAACAAAGAAAACTTAAAAATTTGAGTCACATCAGCCCATTTGAGCCAAAAATATGAGCCAGCCACAATTTGAGCCAGCCAGTGGATCGACTGAGAGCCGGCAGCTCAAAAAAAAAACCCACAAACTTTGATGATCGTAAAATTTGTCCATAAAATGCGACAAGAGAAATTTTGAAGTCAAAATTAAGCATTTAAACCTAAGTCAAGCCTATTCAATCGATCATTATTCGAAAATTTATTTTTACACTCCGATTATCGTCGTCTATCTATGTTTTCATTGTCAACTGCCTAGTATCAAAAAATCGAAATTTATCAATGAACTCTATGAGCTTTAAAGCGTCAGCGTTCATAAATTCCTCGAACACGATCAACCAGAGGATGCTTACGAGGCATGACAATAGAAATATGTTTTTATGTAGTTTGATCGAAACTATTTGAAGTGAAGGGAGTATATAAGAGAAGAAATTTGGCAAAATTTTCATTTTGAACTTATTGAATTGCAAGTTTTGAAATAAATTCTAGTAGAGTTTCTGGCATTCAATAAAGCCAATAAAGCCATGAGTCGATCAAATACATAAAATCTTATTTTGCAGACGACCAAGAAAAGTTTACACAGCACCAGCAAAGGAAACGCCAGTGAAGCCAGTTGTTGCTTAGAAGAAGGCTGCCGCTTCATCAGATGAGTCAAGTATATTTTGTGCGTTTCAAAGAGAATAGTTAGGAGTTTTTTAGAAAATCGCTTTTTTAGGTTCTCTTTTTTTCCCTACGAGTCTTTTCCCAGATTTGTTTTCCCCAGAAAATCTCTCATTTTCTCGTCCCAGACGATCCCCCACAATTCGAAAGGATTACGCGAATATCTTTTGCGATGCTTACTGTTGTTTTCCCATTTTTTTCTCACTTCGGGTCACATTTCCGTGTGGTTTCGCAATGTGACTTTAGCGATCATTTAGAGAAATGTATATTCTTTAAGCAATTTCTCGTTTTGCATATTTCTCAGCCGATCTGCAGAGTATTTATAAAGTTTTTCAACTATTCTCTTTGAAAAGCACAAACTATACTTGGAGGCACACTTTGCTCCTACAGAGCTACAATAAACTTGTACACCTGAACTTTTCTGTAACTGACACCAAATTAGATTTCGTTTTATTGTACAACAACAAGAGAGGTTAACAAACATACTCATGATCACCTAACATGAGAGATCAACATAGAAATTTAACAACAAAACAATAAAGAAATAAGTTTTAACGATCAACAAACGGGATTTCCCAATAAGTGATAATTGAGCGCGGTTTACTGTTTAGCTTCTGGGTAAAGTGCATTTGTCGCTTCGTACACTTCATCGTAGAGATCCTGAAGATCTATTGGTTAAATTTTTAAATCTAAGAAAGTTGTGCAGGATGGTTGTGAACCTTTCTGCGTTCCTCTCTATTCACAACAAAACTTTACCTTATAACTGTTGTGTGACTTGATAAGGAGAATGATAGCCGAACGTCGATATCCCGTTGCCAATCCGAGGCTTTCTCTTGATGGTAAAAAGACGTATGGAATTTCTTTGTCTTCACAGTATCCTGGGATGTGAGAGTAGATGTCAATTGGAGTGACGTTACCTAGAAGTTTCAATAGTCATGCAAAAGAAAAAACACTCACCAGCCAAAACAACAATTCCTTTCTCATCTTTCCTGATAGCTTTTGCCACATCAGCCATACCTTTTCTAAATTAAACTCTTGTTTCAAATAAAAATAAACGGTTTAGGGCAGTACAAAATGCAAACGCACTTTAGAAAGTTTTTCTCTGCAGTCGACTTTTTGATCAATTTGTAGACTTTCTTGGCCAATTTACGATTTGCCAAGGGAGATGCAATAGCGTTTACCTATAAATATCCAGTATGTTAGTGCAAATATTAGATTTACCAAAGCGCATTGATCAGTGTAAACGTCCTTTTCCGTCGAAGGTTCGCCGAGGGTCTCATTCGCCACGCTAGTATCCATCAACGATTCATCGGCGTCCAAAGTCTTTCTTCCCATCCTACAATATAAAGATTACTATTAACTTTATCACGCAAATTCCAATGAAGTTAGTCCGATAATCCATTCAGTGCAATTGAACTATTTTCCACGAAAATATTTACCAAATGAAAAATTTTTTATTGACTTTATACTATAAAATCTAACAACGGGGACAACAATAACAACGGCAAGGTAGCAAAATACCTTGCCCTGACCAATTACAAACATGAACAAAATTAACAAACGATAAACAAAATTGAGAACAAGTTGGCTCCAACTTCAACAAATTTAACAAGAAAAAAACAAGAAATCATTCCGAATCGGAGAACTTTGTCGAGTTGACTCCCATCGAGATTGGACCTCCTCCATAGCTTCCCTAGAAAAACCTTGATTAATCGCAACATATACCAAAGCAACCTTCTTCTTTTTCGTCTTCTCGTGTCGGAAGTTCTTGCCTTGAACTTTGCTCAACTTATCGTGCGCCTGCGATCCCCATTTGTCGAATCTCCCATCAAAGCTATTGTCTCGGAACTTTTCTGCAACCTCATCCTTACTAATGGTGACACGGCGATAAGGTTCATTTGACTTTCTCTATAAATTCATGATTAAAGAGATTGAAAATTTTGATTTACCTTTGCGTCTTGCCATTTTTTTGCATTATCAGTTTCTTCATTTGGAGTGACAAGGGGTTGCTTCTTTGGCAACTCGTCTTCCGAATCAGAGTTGCTTGAAGCTTCGGCATTCTTGGCTGATGCTTTCTGAGAATAAATAGTTAAATTAAAGCGGAAAAGCGGAAAAGTGCAAGACCAAAAATATTCGTGACTAATATCAAGACTAAAAATAAAAACAAAAAAGTGCTACCGTGCCATTGAGTGGTTTCTTTGCGACTTCCTCGTCCGAATCATCATCGGAAGATGTGACAGCTCTTTTCTGAGGGGCGACTGGTTGCACCGGAACTTTCTTCTTTGGTGGTTCATCATCCGAGTCCGAATCCGATTCACTCGAAGCTGCGGTCTTCTTGCTCACTGCAGGGGAAGCCTTCTAAAATGAGAGGAAAAAGTTGGATTGAGATTTCCATTTTAGTCTTGATCCAAACGATTATTAAAAACATACCAGGCCATTGGTTAGACTCTTGACAGCTGGTGTCGTTGGTGCACTTTTCTTTGGAGCTTCCTCATCCGACGAAGAATCATCCGATGATGCGGCAGCCTTCTTCTGAGCAACAACTGGTTTCGCTGGTGTTTTCTTTGCTGGTGGTTCATCATCAGAATCAGAGTCGCTTGAAGCTTCAGGCTTCTTGGTGACTGCGGGCGAGGCTTTCTAAAATCAATAGTTGAGTTTCAACTGAAAGAACATCTAGCGTCTTTAATAACAGGATTATTTAATAAATCTAACAAAATAAAACTTAACAGTAAAGGACTGATCTTCCTATTAGCTACTGCTTAGGTTGACTTCAAAACTTCAATAAAACTCACCGGGACATTGACCGGTTTCTTCGCAACCTCCTCATCCGACGAAGAATCATCAGATGATGCGGCAGCTTTTTTCTGAGCAACGACTGGTTGAACGGGGATTTTCTTCTTTGGTGTTTCATCTTCTGAATCAGAGTCGCTTGAGGATTCGGCCTTCTTTGTTACCGGTGTGGTTTTCTGAAATTAGCACCGTTAAATAAAGTATTTGTTTTATGACAAAAGACTATTTTAATTTGACTTTTAATAAAACGTACCGCAGAAATAATTGGTTTCTTGACGGCTGATTGTGGTGTTTTCTTCGCAACTTCCTCATCCGACGACGACTCATCCGATGAAGCAGCAGCTTTCTTCTGAGCAACAACTGGCTTCACTGGCGTTTTCTTTGCTGGTGCTTCATCAGAGTCGGAGTCAGAGTCACTTGATGCCGTTTTCTTGGCGGCTGCGGGTGAAGCCTTCTAAGATAGTCATGTTTATTAAGAATTCAAACATTTGATAAAGCTATTAACGCTTACCGCGGGAGTCTTTGCAACAACTGGTGTTTTCTTCACAACTTCTTCATCTGACGAGTCATCGTCAGAAGATTCAACTGGTTTTTTTTGGATAGCCGCTACTGGCTTTACTGGAGTCTTCTTTGTAGACGGTTCATCGTCCGAGTCAGAGGATTCGCTTGAAGAGGCAGCTTTCTTGGCCACTGCGGGTGAGGTTTTCTAAAATAAATTGAATTTCAAAAGTCACTACATGGGAAAAGTTAGTAAAGGGCTAGTTTGTAAAGTCAAAAACACACCGTCAGTGATTTATTGGCCATCATTGGTGCTGGTTTCTTTGCAACCTCCTCATCCGACGAAGAGTCACTTGATGCAGCAGCAGCTTTCTTCTGAGCAACAACTGGTTTCACTGGTGTTTTCTTTGCTGGTGGTTCATCATCAGAATCAGAGTCGCTTGAGGATTCGGGCTTCTTGGTGACTACAGGCGAGGCTTTCTAGAACCAACCGTGATAAAAATATTAACTACTTATTTGTCCTATACAACATCCTAACAATATTTTATCTTAATGAAATTGTTGAATTGTTCCAATTTAAACTTTCTGACAAAATTTAAACATCTGACAGTTTATAAAAAACTAAGTAATACCGTGCCAGTGACTGGTTTTTTGGTCGCTGATTGTGGTGCTTTCTTTGGAGCTTCCTCATCCGACGACGACTCATCCGATGAAGCGGCAGCCTTCTTCTGAGCAACAGCTGTTTTCACTGGTGTTTTCTTTGCTGGTGGTTCATCATCAGAATCAGAGTCGCTTGAGGATTCAGGCTTCTTGGTGACTGCGGGGGAGGCCTTCTAAAATTGTAAAATCGATAACTCCGTACAACTGATGTCGTTTTCTCTTATTTTTGAAATTATAAAATTCCCGTACCGTAGCAGTCACTGGCGTCTTAGCTACAGCTTGTGGCTTTTTCGCAACCTCCTCATCCGACGAAGAATCATCCGATGATGCGGCCGCTTTTTTCTGAGCAACGACTGGTTGAACGGGGATTTTCTTCTTTGGTGTTTCATCTTCTGAATCAGAGTCGCTTGAGGATTCGGCCTTCTTTGTTACCGGTGTGGTTTTCTGAAATTAGCACCGTTAAATAAAGTATTTGTTTTATGACAAAAGACTATTTTAATTTGACTTTTAATAAAACGTACCGCAGAAATAATTGGTTTCTTGACGGCTGATTGTGGTGTTTTCTTCGCAACTTCCTCATCCGACGACGACTCATCCGATGAAGCAGCAGCCTTCTTCTGAGCAACAACTGGCTTAACTGGCGTTTTCTTTGCTGGTGGTTCATCCTCAGAGTCGGAGTCAGAGTCGCTTGATGCCGTTTTCTTGGCGGCTGCGGGTGAAGCTTTCTAAAGGTAATACAGTAAAATAAGTTCGTTTCGTGATAAGTTCTTTCTATAGAGCCACAAAAGTAAACTGGTGAAGACATCTCTCTAATCCACTAATAATCTTATTTGTTTTAAAAATTCTACAAATTTGACCAATCCGTTAACCTTAGGCGCTGATTGTGGTGTTTTCTTTGCAACTTCCTCGTCTGACGACGAATCATCCGATGATGTGGCGGCCTTCTTCTGAGCAACAACTGGTTTGACTGGGGTTTTCTTTGCTGGTGACTCATCGTCCGAATCGGAATCAGATTCAGAAGAAGCTTTCTTGGAAGACATCTAAAATAAATTGAGTCAATAAACGGTAATTTAAACTATACAAGAATTATATTTACTTCATAGAAGGTAAGATTCATACCGTTCCGTTGATCGGCTTCTTGGCTGCAGCTTGTGGCGGATTCTTCGCAATTTCCTCGTCCGAATCATCATCAGAAGATGCTGCAGCCTTTTTCTGTGCAGCAATGGGTTGTACTGGAACTTTCTTCTTTGGAGGTTCATCAACTGAGCTCGAATCAGAATCACTTGAGGCGGCTTTCTAAATAAAAAAAGTCGAAATTTTAAGTTATGAAAATATTTTACATTGTTAGCATTTGTTGCTGGTCTCTTTCTATTGTTTTTGAAGAACTCCAACACTTGAGAAGCAGTTGGAACATCGACGGCGGCAGCCTATAAATAAAAGTTGAATTATCCAAGCTAAACAAATGTTTAAAAAATCAAAGCTACAACTCACTCGTTCTTTGATCACTGTCTGCTGATGAGCGCTGAATAACTTGGAGATGAGTTTTGGATCCTTTTTGCCATAGTGGATGTACATCAGAACATCGAAATCGAGCGCATTGTCACCAAAATCGTTCATCTAAATTCATAAGGCAATAAACAGCAGTAAAAAAATAAAGAACAGTAAACAAAGTGATTCATGAATATCGACAAGTAGTAGAACCACAAGAGCATTTCAAATTAAAGCGACTTTCCATTATTTGCCACCAAGGATTCCCATAATTAAGAGCAAGTTCCTGTCCTTCATAAACTTTATAGATACAGAAAATCACAATGTGCTCCAGCGGGTCGCCCGTTTGTTTCACACGTACAGCAAAAACGTTAGCATTGCAAGAATGATTTATGAAGCGGGTCACGTTTCCCTGATTTGTCGCATTGATTATTACATCATTCTCTCCAGAAAGTGTGCCATAAGAGTGCTCATTTTGTTCCACCATTTCATCAAATGACAATTCGCCCGTGTACTCGGCAATAACCGCGCCACTGGGGATCGTGCTTTTCACGCGAACGCCCCATCCTCGACCATTCGTTTTGAAGATTTCTAGGGGGTAGCGCACACCTTGCTGTGACAACCTATTTGAGCAATCGATATCACAGGAACATCCAGGGCCACATTCGGTTAAAATGTTTGCCAATTTGCTGGGCCGTTGAACGCGCTGATCTTTGTAAACATTAGACGAGCAGGGACAATTCTCATCACAAGCGCCTGGGCAACATCTTGACGTTGTAGCGCTTGGTTCCGGTACACAGCGATTCAAATAAACGAAATTTGGCACCCCTTCATCATCATAATCGTTGTACACGGGGATTTTCGTCCTCTCTTTTCCGTTTGAGATGTCATCGCTGAGCAGTAAACGGTCCATTTTAGTTGTTTTGTCGAGGAAATTCTGAAAAAGTAGCAAACCGATTATAAAAAAGTGATTGAGTTAACAAGAATTGCCAAAACGGGAACGAAAATGCGAATCAAAACGAAACTTTTAAACTTTTACGGGAGCTAAAAATTTCTTCATCTTCTTTTCCTTTTTTGTCTTTGCCTTGTTTTACCGTAAGAATTTCCGGACGAGACGCTTCCCCACAATTAACAACTTTCAGATTTTTAGCTGAATACCTTGAAAAGCTTAAAAACTCTTAAGATGAAAGATTTTCAACTCCTTTTTCCCGTTTTTGATGTTTTTTTTGTGATGGAAGCTTTCAAAACGTAAATTTGTGAACTTTTGCTTTAGGATGTCTTTCCTCAAAGAACTCGAGGCATTGTGTGATACGGCGCCGGAAATTCCCGATACAGAAGCATTTGATGCAGCTGAAGGTTTGTTTTTTATAAACTTTGTTTTTTATTAGGTATTTGTTGAGATTCTCTACCTAAAAAGTCGGCAAATGATGAGAGAATTGATGGTGATCACGTAAAGTTGAGACGACGAATTGGAGGAATTGAGCTGTTAGACGAACGGTACAAAGGGGCCAAGGTCTGTCGTTTTTGAACGAAACTTGCTCTAAATTTTTAATGGATACTTTTATCGAGGAGTAAAGTAAAGGGCAATTTGTCAATTTTAGAAAAAGATTGATGCCTAAAAGTTTAGGTTAACACAGCTGATGTTTTTGAAGACGCTTATGAGCCTCGACGACTTGCCGCTATGAATGGCAAAGGTTTTAGTTTTGTTTTGCATAGAAAATAATGTTTGATTAGATGTGCTAACTGAATCCGATGATGAGAGTAATGCAACAAGCGGTCACGGCGAGATTTCTGACGAAGATGCTTCTGAATTGGACGAGGAGGAATCTTTTGAAGATGAAGAAATTGAGTCGGAGGTAAAATGCTTGTCTCTAAAAAGGAAATGATGTTAAAATATATGGCATATTCTTGTTTTAGAACGCCATTACTGAAGATGAGGAAGAATCAATTTCTGGTCCAACTATTCTTCAAAATGGAACTTCAGAAAACAAGGAAAAAGGTATCACTTTTGAAACGCATTCTTCATTAGTAAATGTTTAGCCGCCTTTGTTCAACGGCAGTTGAAGATATTTGATCAATTGCTCTACACAAAAATTCGTTTGCATGCGGCGATGAGATCCTATAACGAACTACCTCGTGGAAAGCTTGCTCAAACTTTGGTCAAGGACGCAGATGAGGCAACGAAAAAGCGTTATGGTGCAGGTTTTATTAATTTTATTTTGTTTGAGATAATGAATTCTTATAGCAAAGCAAAATGCACGCCGTTTGATGAACCTTTTGATCGAGGCAGAAACAGCTCTGTTGTCAGGATGCAAACAGACAAAATTGCTTTTAGACGGCACATATGCGGGTAGAACTTAACTTAATACAGAAGTAAAATTGGGATTAGAAGGAAGCGACGAAGAAATTGAAAGCTCCGAAGATGAGGCAAGCGATGACAATGATGACGAAAAGCTGTCGGATGAAGGAGATGACAACTTTTCTGAAAATGATGAGAGGTAGTGGTGAATAACCCCTTTTACTTAAAGGACTTTACTTCAGCGATGAGGATCAAAAGCCGAAAGCAAATTCCGCAGCTATAAACAATAAGGGGAGAAGCTGGCAAGCGGCCGCCAGAACGCTCACAAAGATCGATAATAGATTCAACCCTTACAGGTAACTTGTTTATTTGTTTATATGTTTCTAATCGATCAACTTAGACGATCTACAATCGAAAAGTGGGATGAACGAACGCGACTTGTCTCTTCTGGGCCTGCAAGGCAAAAAGATTTCAGCCATATGGAAGATACTGCTATGGGACAAATTGAAAAGGTTAACTTTTAATCTTGAAGTAGTTTATTATTCGTCATTTAGATAATGCGCGACAAAAATCGTTTGCTGCGAAGAACGCGCATCAATCGAAGCAATCTTGAGAGGATTGGGAAAACGAATGAGGTGCGCTTCATGAGTAGGATCAAATTGCTGATATTAAATTTTAGGCAAAAGAGGATCTAGAATTTTTTGACGACAACGATTTCTACCATGTGATGTTAAAAGAGTTACTTGATAAAAGAACCGATCAAACTCTTGATTCTGCAGCCATGACGAGGTAAGAAGTTGTAAATATTTATATTCAACAGAAATTGTTAGGCAATGGTTAGAGCTGCAGAAATACCGAGAGAAACGTTCGAAGAAAAAAGTTGACACTAAAGCTTCAAAGGTACAGTAAAAGCTTTTTCTTGAATAGGGAATTTTTTAGGGTCGAAAAATTCGCTACAAAGCAATTCCAAAACTTGTCAACTTCTTCCCTGCTGTGCCGGAATCAGTGACATGGAGTCACGAGAAAAGAAATGACTTGTTCAACACCTTGTTTACTTGATTTTTTAATTGGTCAGTTTTTTGTTGTTGATCCCGAAAAAATTGTGCTTGTTTTCACTTTTGTTATTTTATCCGTTGTTAGTTGTTATAAATCATAAACAATTTATTAAGGTCGCAGTATGGAAAGTTTTGTGCGCATGAAATTATGTACAAATCACCTAATTTTACCAAAAAGAAAAACAAATAGAAAAAGCAGGTTTATAAATCATCACAAGTGTTTTAATGTTGAATTACCCGAAATTCGTTGAGCATAATCGGCACATCATTAAGGATTTTACGGGGAATGTCGCTTGCCTTCAATTTCGTTTCGATACACATACGAGCACACCTGAATAATGTCATTTTAAAGGATTTCATTTTCGATTGTACCTCTCCGTTGAGTTTTTTATCACAAGTTGGCCAAAATATGCAACTGTCCGTATCACTGTAATCAACGTCGAACATTGTAAAGAAGAGATAAATGCAACTCACGTGTAACACAAAAGTCCGAGGGCTATGAAGAATATCGCAGAACAAATATGACAGGGCCTAAAAGAATCGCATTAGGGGTTTTTTTTTCACCCAACCCAACTTATTTTTTTTTAATTTTGTTTATTTTTTATTTTTTTTTTTTTTTTTTTTAAAAATAAAAAAAAAAAAAAAAAAAAAAAAAAACAAAAAATAAAAAAAAAGAGTTGGGGGGAGCGAACCGGGCGCAAAAAACGAAACGGTCCCCAAAAAAAAAAAAGGGGGGGAAAACCCCCCCCCCTCGCATTAAGATTAACAAATAATATACTCACCTTCTTTCCATGAAAAATCCGATCACATAAAACCACATGAATAAGGCTTGCTCCATGAGGAAAAGCGGGTGAAGCCAGTGTTTCGGTATCAACAGCACGGGTATTAACCATTGAAGACAGTACATTCCTGAAAAAGAACACAAATTAACGGTGTCACTGAAAGAAAAGAAAACGAAAATAAAAGGATATGGAAAACGTCTTATTAACTTTAAAAAACTAGTAATATATCTCGTAGTAATATCTCCTTAAATGCGTTAACTACGAGCCTGCACTACTAGACTTGTACTTTACAGTACTCAGATAAATAAACCTCAGATAAACCATAAAAAGTAAGTAAAAATTCTCAAAAATTAAACGAACCTTGACCCTTTATATGTTTTTCTTCTCAACCATTTATTATTGAAAGGGTTACCCAGTTCTACTCTACTGTAATTTGTCCGCTAGGTGTCATATAGGCAAATCGGCTTTTTTTCGGAAGAGTGGCTCGCTTTTGAAATCGAATTTTTTTTGCCAACTTTTTACTGCTCTTTTCAACTTTACTGCTTGTTTTTTCAGGGCTCTAATTTTTGAGCCGCAACATTTGAGTCGAAAGCTTTTTCGGGACCATGACGATTGCGCCGCAAGCCAAAAACAAAATTTGAGCATACGAAATTTACGCCGAAAGACCAGAAGCGAAAATTGTGCTGCCGAATTTTGCCCAAGTTTTTTTTGCGCTACGAAATTGGCGCCGAAGGATTTGAGTTATTTCATTGAGACTTTACCTGGTTTTTGGGGGTAGGCTAGTTTCCGCAACTTTTTTTGCGCAACAGGGTCATTTGCGCAACTCGGCATAACTTTCTTCTAAGTGGGCTAATATTTAGGATTTTGATTTCATTTTGTTGCACTTATTGAGATCTACAAAATGAGACCAAAATCATAAAGATTAGCCCACTTAGAAGAAAGTTATGGTGAGTTGCGCAAACGACCCAGTTGCGCAAATGACCCTGTTGCGCAAAAAAAGTTGCGGAAACTAGCCTACACCGTTTTTGATGACGCAGAATCGAATTTAAGTTCAGTCACAATGGTTAAATGTTTTTAAATGCAAACATTGTTACTTGAGTGCTTAGCACACGGTTGTTTGTTGGTGCTTAGGTTACTCAAATGTTGATGTTTCTTTGTGGAAGATGCATTTCATAAGACATTTAATGATTATAGGTGTATTTTAAAAAGGATATTTAAAAGCTGTATTAACAAACAAAACCCGTATAATCGTTAACTAACGTTAACGTATAACTCGGCGCTTTTGCTTCTAATTTTTGCTTGTAGTCTTTTGGCGCAAAATTCGTCGACTCTTAGTTTTTGAGTTGCGGCGCAATCGTCATGGTCCCATTTTTTCTCTGAACCTTAACTTTGTTCTTTTTAGCTTTTGATGGAAATTGACCCAGCCGACGAACCAATCAGTGTAATACCGACAGAAACAAGTGATTCCACGGAAAGCCAACCAACCTCCGTCGGTCCATCGCCGACTTCTCCAACGAAACACGAACGCTGGATTCCACTTGTTTGGACGACTTTCTACTATTTTGTTGACGAGGAAGAATTCTCGAAGGACGTTTTTCTTACTCGACAATTGCTCTGGTGAGGGTTTACGCTTTGGAATCTATAAAAAAGCTAGAGAATCAAAGCTAAAAAGCAACTTTGTCTATCGATTTTGCTTGACTTAGGGACAAGGAGCTTGTCAGGCAATCCTCCATCTTGCCGAATGATTTTGAGGACTATCAAGCTTTTTCGCCGCACGACATCTTTGATATAAATCAAATGGAAGTACCGGGTAGGACTCTGGACCTGAGAAAATTGATGAAGAAACTTTAGAAAAAGATCAACAAAAGCTTGCGAATACTACGAACGATTTTCCCAAATGCTTTGGAGATTCAATGAAGATGGTAATTGGACCGTTTAATGGCACTTCTAATATTTTTTAGGAGTATGATCAACCAAAGAGACAAAACAACTTGGGTTGGACGGAAGGAATTTCAGCAGATGGTTATTGGGAGGTTGGCTATAGATCTTTGATTTTAAATTCAATTATTGCTTTAGACGTGCTCCACTTATGTGATCTACAAAATATGGATTAGCGTTTTTCAAGAGGTTTACTTTGTGGTTGTTTAGATTCAAACAAAACTTTAGCAACTAGACAAATTGGAATTGGAAAAAACTTATCAACAAATGACGGAAGCAAAACCAAGAAATCTGCTTCCCGTTCATCAGAAACTTACGGTTGGTTTTCAAAGTTGTTGCCTACAAAAGCACTGTTTAGAGTTACGAAGCCGAGTATGTGGAACTACCACAATATTTGGCGGCAAATACAAATGAGGAGAAATTTACGATCCTTTCAGAGGTAAGTATTTAATTCAATGAATTCGATGAAATCATTTTTAGTTCATGAAAGAAAAATGTTGCAACGATTTCATGGCAGCTCAGGCGGCACAAAGGACTCAAAAAAGTAAACGATATTTGAAGAGGGTAAATATTGATTTCATTACTTTATTTTAATAATATTTAGATCGGAGAACTTGGGATTGCAACTGGCTTTGATAAGAGAACATTTCAAGTGTCCGACGACGTACATGAACAGGTGATTTTTGTAAAAAAGAATGGCATAGTATATGCCAAATCTCATTCCCTATTCTATAAAATTAGATCCTAAAATGAATTTATTTTAGGACGACGATGATCTAAACGTGTCTCAGAGTAGTAATGTGTCTACCGACGACTCGTCAAAAAAAAAGCGTCAGAAAGTTGTCTACGACACGGATGATGTGGGTTATTTCTTTCTTTAAAAAAACTATCTGTAGCTTTAGATCTTTTACGATGTGATGTATGAGGTTTATGAAAGTAAAGCGATGCGAATGGTTCTTGGGAACAAAAACGATGAGAAAACAACCGAAGTAGAAGCTGAAAAAGCTGAAGGTATCAATTTTTTTCTTTATCGATTTATTGATTTATTTTTTAAATGAGTTTTAATTTTTTAATTTTAATTATTTTTTAAATGAATTTATTGATTTTAGAATCAATGCAATCACCAGTAGACATCACTCAAATTTCATTTGCATTTGATCCGGAAAAAGATGCCCATTTGATTGCCAAGGATGCCTATAAAATTTTCAAGTTTGACCCAGTAATATTTAGTTATCAATTTGCGTACATGTATAAATTTAGGAAATTCGCAAATATTGGTATCAGCGTTATCGCCTTTTCACTCGACTCAATCATGGAGTTCTGATGGATAGAGGTATGTTTGGCAAATGTGAAATGTAAATCTTTTTGATCAAAACTATTCAGTTGAAATGTGAATCATTTCTTTAGAGGGATGGTTCTCAGTCACACCCGAAAGAATCGCATCTCATATTGCTCAACGGATGGTTTCTCGCAGTGGAATGATTATTGTCGATGGTTTTGCTGGTGTTGGCGGAAACAGCATTCAATTTGCATTGAGAGGTGCATATGGTAGGTTAATTTTATAAACAATCGTTTAATCATTTACATCTTGTAGTTATTGCTATTGATCTCGATCCAGTAAGACTCAAATGCGCAAAGAGGAACGCCGAAGTATATGGAGTGGCTGATAGGTTGGTTTTTACATTTTAAGTCAAGACTAGTTTTGCTTACTGCTTCTGTAGCCTTACCTTGAAGGGATACCATTTCGGAATCACGTTTTAAGATGAAAGTCAGGTCAATACTAATTCACTTGTTTAGGATTGAGTTTATTTGCGGGAATTACTTTCACGTGCTCTCACGTTGGGCATCCGGCAATGGAACAAATGATTTGCCAGGAGGCGGTTTCATTGATGCCGTGTTTCTGTCTCCTCCTTGGGGTGGCCCTTCCTATCTGCAAGACAAGGTAAATGGCGAATTCTTATTCTTATTAGATAATCGTTGTTTAGGAATTCGATATTGGCACTGGTTGCTGTCCAAATGGTTTCGAAATTTTCGAAGCCGCTCGAAAGGTGACTCCAAACATTGCCTACTTTCTTCCGAGAAACACCAAACAGTATCAGGTAATTAAATTTATTTTAAAGTGCCGATCGAATAATGAATTCAGGTTATACGGCTAGCAGGAAAAGGTGGAAGTGTGGAAATTGAGCAAAGTTGCCTCAACAAAAAGGTATTTTTAATTTGATTTTCGAGTATAAATTTTTTTTTAACTCTTAGATAAAAACGATAACAGCATATTACGGTGACCTGTGTTGCGGTGAAAAGAGAATGCAAACAAAAGCTTTGGATTAATTTCTTTGGTTTTCTTCGTCATTTATTTTTGTTCACATTTTTGGGTTTTTCAATTATTTGTGTTTCTGGGTTCCTTTGTGATATTTTAAACTTTGGTGAATACTTCTCGCATCATAATTGCCTCATTTTTTTGCGATATCCCAGGTTGTTTTAGCTTTAATTTATTTCAAACTTATGGTTTAATTTTCTTTTTTGTAAATTTTATTGCTTTGCATAAAGTTTAAGTTAACATGGGATAATTTGCATACAAATGTTTGGGACGGGCAAGCGCGGCAGTCGGTGTCATTTTATTATTTCGCACTTCGTGGCCGCTTCATTCAATGGATTTGCTGCATTCACTGAAGCGATCAGTCGCTGAGGTATTCGTTTACTTTTTGAATTAGCTTTTAGAATCTAGAGCCATTATAAGCACTCAGCTTAGGCAAAGTACCGGTTCTAGATTACAAAACTTGTTTTAGCAGATGTTTTTAGTTTAAAAAAACTGATTTGAGTCCAAGTTGCAGCTTTTTTTTATCTTATGTTAAACTTTTTAACAAATGACTTCTGCTTTAACTTTCTTATACAAATCTATCATTTTAGTTCAAGACTGGTTTCGGCAAGATCAAAGCCGGTGAGCTCGCTGACTACGCTCATCTTCTCCATCAATCGCTCGGCATCCGACAAACGCTTTGCACACTAGATGCAATTCTATTAGGTGGGGTTCTTTACGCGTCTTTTTATTTCATTATCCATTTGTAGATCATTACCGCCAATCACAAGTGAAATGCTCGCAAAATGGGCGAGTGGAACTTGATCGTGGCGATGTGCAGCCGACTTTGTTGATTCACCGCTTCGCATCATCTGATATTATTTCGGTGAGTTGTTACTCACGAAATTGTTTACGGCATTTTAGCTACCCAATAGATTGCTCGATTCGACTCAACGCGAAATTTCTCAAGAATTTTATCAGCATTGCTCGGAAGAAACGAACCTCGAAACGTCTTTCATTGTCGAAAACATCAAATTGTCTCCAACACGAGCCAAAATGTTCAAATTCTTTGATGAGGTATATTTAAAAGTCTTTAATAATTAGTTTTGCTACCATTGATTCTGAAAAAAGTTCAAAGACTTTCTAGAGAGTTACATTTTTTATGATTCTTTATTTAGCCTCCTTCAACTGGAAGAACAAAACAAGAGGACTTCTATTCGATTGACGAGTTACCAGCCGACGCAATGCTCTTCTACGAAAATCCCCTTGATGTCGATGAAAATGTTCTCGAGCAACGATTTCTCACAACAGAATTGGCCGACCTTCCGATGCGATTCGTGACACAATTCTCCGAAATGCTTCTTCAACCGCCCATCGAGAAAGCCGAGGAATTTGAGGTGGTTACATTTTCGCGTTGCACTCATTTCTTTGATGCTAACAATTATGACTTTAGGCTTACATGATTTACGCTATTTCACCAATGGAATTCTATGTGCTCAAGAAACAAGATTTTTGGTTAATCATTTGCTTATTTAAAAATCAAAAAAGCTTTTCAAGGATACGATCAACGATTGAGTGCCTTTTGATGGACGGTGAGGAGGAGTTTATGGGTGAAAGGCGAAATATTCCGTTTCCGGGTCCTGGTGAGGATTTTGCTCCGGATATGCCCTGCTTGGCATGGGTGAACGATCGACTCAATCGAGCAATCATTCGCTTTTCTGGCTTCCAGGATGTTCAGGTGTGGAAATTTTTCGGTCTTGTATTAGGTTTAGCTACAACCCTGTAATAGACCAAATTTTGTGTTTTAGGTGTTTCTTATCGACTACGGAACATCACATCTCGTTGCTCCCGATGATCTCTTCTATATGCCGTTTGGGATTGCGACAATTGTTCCCGGATTGGCCGTGTTTTGTACACTTGAAGGTTGGTTTTTTTTCCTCTATAGTTCCAGTAATTACAAACTCTTCAGATGCTGACAGTCGAATGCTTGATACAGCTGCATGGAAAACTTTTTTGGACAGTTTTTCTGAAGATTTCGAAATCATCATCAGAGGCAAGTGTATCAGTTTCTTTTCATATAATATTTTATGCTAGGTTTTGGCACAAAGCGTCGAACTCATGGGTATTTGGTTCAAATCATCGACTCGCACACGGGGACTCCGCTCAGCTTTGGCGTTCACTCGACGTCGTGGAAAGAAATGCGCAAAGTTCGCGCTGAAAAACAAGTTAGCTTTTCAAGAAAAACTTTAAAACTAGTGTGTTTGCTTTAGCGTGCGCTTTCTGTTTCGCCTCGTGTGATCTCGACGACTGCGAGTTGTCGATCGGCAAGTTTGGATATGGATCTTGATGAACTCGATACTATAGGTTGGTGTTCTCAATTGTGTGTCTTGGTCTATTGTTTGCTTTAGTATCATCGACAAACGAAATCAGTGATCGAAGCAAAGATGGCACTTCCATCCATGAAACCATCTCGAAACTCTACAAGTGGAAACGTTAAACTCTTTCTTACTTTAACTTTTATCATTCGACGCTATTACCGGCTTTTGACTATTTTCTTGTCGGCTTGTTTATAGGCTTCAATAAATTTTATCGGTTAATACTACAAAAAAACTAACAACAAAATGAGAACTACACAGCATAACATAACATAACAGCGATATATAAGTAAAAATCTCTATTCCACTTTCGATTCCTGTTGCAAAGCTATATTCTTCTTGCAGACATCACAAGTAGCTTCCGAGACGCGTAGCCAAATTATTGTCTGGTGCCTGAATGCATTGTAATGAAAGTCAACTAGTGCCACTAACCGTTTACTTTCGATCATCAAGCAACTCAACTTTCCGCGAAGCGCTGGTGATGAATGTTTTATTGGAATCTAAAGTGAGAATTTAAAATACACGGCTGAAAATACCTGAAGCTCCTTAGATAAGGTGTGACTTTCAATCCTTTTGACCAACTCCTCAATAGACCATCGATCAACGTAAACGTATAATGGCTGTAAAGAAAATTTTTAGATTAAATTTGTCACACTACGATAATCGACTTTTCCGGTGTTGAACAATTGCTCGGTGATGGAGTCTCAACTTTTTTGCTCCCTGGACTTAGAAGTTTGTAAGCCTCAGTGCCTAAAATTATCAAATCAAGGCTGAACATTCAAAACGCGTTTTACCTAGCCTCATTAATCCTTTACCGATCGAACCAAAACGACTTGATGGTGGCGTGTGCATTGGCGCCGGCGAATCAGACTTTCTTTTCGAAGCAACGCGTCGGGCCGGTGTTTCTCGTTTGATTTCAAAGGCCATTCTAGAAAAAGACTTGCTTTTACACGGCTGAAATCTTACGTCAACAACGCTTCCACTACTTCCCATGGCGTACGCTTAAAAACCACTTCTATAACGTTGGGAAAATGCCTAAAAATTGGTTCAATTTTTACGTATCACTTTTATTTCTAGAACCTACCGGAAGAGACGACGCATAAGACATATGTCCGAGTCGATAAAAGCCATTCCCAATCCATCCCACTCAAAAGATCGAACCACAGGAAGACTCCATGGTCTTGGTTCAAGTTCAACCTAAATACGCGGAAGTTACTCTTTTAAATCCCACACCTACCCTAGATAGCAATAGACATTTCAGACTACAGCAGCCTTCAACAACTTGCATTAGCTTCTGTTCGAGTCGAATACCGGGATACACTTGAAGAGTCTGTAGAGTGTGTTTTGATATTGGCAACCACGTGTCAAGTAATTGGAAAATCGATGACACTTCGTTTACGAACTAAAACTTTAGATAAACATACATAACTAAACGCATAAAACTTACATTAACATCTGTTTCATCGTTTGGAGAGCCAATGCATAGTTGGTTCAAAAATGGCAAATGGCTCGCAAGTATACCTAAAGCACGATGAAAGGAATATACGTAAAAAGTAATACCGAAAACGTGCACTTGTCTGTAGTCATAAATTCGCAAAGTAAGGCTTTCGACAACTGGCACTTGAACATGAAGCAACTCGCCAAGCGTATGAAGTGAGTGCTAAACAAAGAATGTAAATGTTCCGTAAAATAGCTTTTACCCGAATCTCCCCAAGATTAGTTTGGCGATCTTCAATAATGATGTCAAATTTCTTAGACTTCGCCGCCCATTTGTCTTGCTTTAATTTTTAAGATCAACCCAAAAAGAAGCAAACAGACCTGAAGAATGTGTTCCAAACGAAACAGTTCACAATAGACGTTTCCTAGTTTTAGAGTTTATTTCACAAAAAGAAGAATTCCTTACTTCCGACGTCCACAACAGTGCGGCTATTTTGACCGTCGAAGTGATAACGAATTGGATATGGTTGAGTTAAATCATAGGAGCTATCCAAAGAAGCAAATGATACAATTGAGCCAGTAAACTCGGAGGACCTTAAAATAATTTTTCTCCAAATAGATCGGTAACTTTTTCACGCTGTAACCGTTGACAATGATTTGCGTGTGCGACTCCCTTCAGAATCGCAAGAATCTTCATCAAGTATTTGAAAGGGCATGACTGAAAAATTGTTTGAATTACCAAATAGTGGTTGTTGGTTCAATATAAGTTGTACGCAATTACGGTAAGCTCATGACTGAATAGAATGAATCTAAAGCTTTATCGCACAATATTCATGTTCACAGCATTGAAATATTCACATCGAAAAGAAAAGCACAGTGAAACTTGCAAACACAGTTGTAAAGTATGTAAATTTGTAGTGCATTATCCGTAGATGCTGCGTCCAGTCCGTTTCTTTCCCCAGCTTTCGAGTCCTTCACCAGCATAGGATTGTGAAGCCGCCACAAAGACCTGTAATTATATAAAATGACCAGTATATCACAAATGACCTAACCAGCTTTTCATCACCAAAATTGGCCCCAGCTGCTTGCAACCACTTCTTTGATTGCAACGAAAGATCGCGAAGGCAGGTGGAAATACAGTTGACTCCGGCAGTCTCCGCGTTTTTCAGTGGCGAAAATTCGTCCTCTCGTTCGACTTCCCAAGCGAAGAAGTTCCTAAAATACTCATTTGTCGAGAATAAAGTGGAGAAACAAACTTGCTCAAAGGGAAGACGTCAAAGATGAATTGCTCCAGTTTAATACCATTTGGTTCTGTAGGTTGGATGAGTTGTCCACTTGCATCGATGTAGGGAATCTTTTTGGAGGCACGATGATATGGAAGATGGAAGGTTGACGTACAGAAACTAAATTCATGTTGAAAAATAAAAATAATCACTGAAAACCTTTCAAGGAAGTCCATGGTGAAGTAATGAATGGCAATACTGCCCGCTCGGTACAATAATTTACCATCGTTCCTTGCTAACGCCTCAAGTCCTCCAAGCTCGGAATACTCGGCCACACGAGGCTAAATTTTTGTTGCTAGTTTAATAATTTTAAGGACAAACCTTGCCATCCTCAAAAATGATACTTCCGACCAGTTCACCAGAGACTTTTTCAATCGTTTTTGCGGCACAATCACTGCCCTAAAATTAGAAAACTCCAGTAAATAAAAACGCAATCACCTTTGCAATAACCATTCCCAACATGGCTGGATCACCCACGCGGCAAAGAATGTTGTCAACGCAATATGTTTGAATGTATTTTACTCCCTTCTCCCGCAACATCGGCAAGTGAGGTGAAAGTGCTGAGAAGATACCACCGTTTCCATTTGGTGCAGTGCAGATTTCTCCTTTCTTTGATAGCCAAAAATTTCCGCTTTGATCAAAAGCCGGGATATTTGCTTGTGAGAAGATGGTCACCTAAACATCAATCATTAATGAATGTATCTTAAAGCCCACATTGTCTATGGATAGTCCATTTAGCGGTACAATTTCTTCCAAATGTGCAAGTGTGTCCTTTGTAGTTCCCGATGACGTCATGACGGCCCAGTGAATCTTTCCAGTGGTTCCGGGAAAGGCTTTTTGGGAGAGTTCTTCTAGCCGATGAATCTTTGCTGCCTGAAGAGAAAGTTCATATATACCTACATGTTAAAAATAAACCTGAATGGAAAGAAGGCTGTCTCCTTCAACAATTTCGGAGTTGAATCCAAGTGGAATCGTTCCTTTGGGCATTGAGCTTCCTAAACGTGAGGCTTGTCCACCAGCAAGGACAAGGACACACAGCTCGCCTCGTGAAATTGACTCCAATCCAAGGTTGAACAACCTAAATACAAAACGTAAAATGATGAGTGGACGAGCGAAACTAATTCTTTGTTCCATTGAAACTATGCATTTTGTGATCAAACGGATCAAACGTCGGATCAAACGTTAAACACCCCAGAACTTGTCAAGTTTAAAACCAAGATTCTTTTTAAAGCATGTACACTACTGATTAGTGACCAACATATAAAACACCTAAAAACATTACCTAGATCGCTCGTTGGAAGACAACTCCGACGAAACAATGTAGCGCTCATCGGGTATCGGCGTAATGTTATCAAGTTGAGGCAGATGGACGTTGACCGAGTCGTTGAAAGCACTGCGACAGTCGTTCACGTTGATTCCCTCGATTTGTTGGGACAGTGATGAGCGCTCCTCTTCACTGAGCTCGTCCCAGAAGCGCAACACATGTACTTGCTCGCCGACTCGTTGTTCCAATTCGGCACGCGTCAACATGGCTCTGAAACATAGAAACTAGTTTCGAGAGTGTAACACTTGAATGGGCAACGAGAAATGAGGCGTGGGACAAATGTTACCTTTTTTGCGCAGTCAAAAGCGCAACTTTTTCCGAGTTTTAAAAAGCTCCCTAAAACTAAAGATTGAACATTTTTGTTTAAAAAGTTTATTTTCTGGGTAATTTGGAGGCGTAGAATTCGAATATCGACATTTCAGAGCGTTTAGAAGCGTTCTGGTAAATGCACAAGAGGGTATTTTTGAAGATTCTAAATTCCGACCCCCTTTGCGCATTTATCAGATCGCTTCTAAAAGCTCTGAAATCTCAAAATTTGAATTTTACGCCCTAAAATTACCCAGAAAAACAACTTTTGGAATAAAAATTGGTTAATATTAGCTTTTTTAAAACGCGAAAAAAGATGCGCAAATGTCCGGGTGCGCAAAAAAAGATCGCACTTCCTTGTCGCACTTCGCACTTGTCCCACTCCCGAGTAGACTTGCTTATCGATATTATCGACACAAACGGCAAGATCATGTTTGACTGTTAAAATTGCGGTTTCTAGAGCACCTATCAATCTGCAAATTGTTTCATTGGAAAGTCAAGAATGTCAGCTTTTGATTGCTATTTTATACAGGGTGACTTTTAATGGCTAAGCACCTGATAAACCTTATCGATACTTGAGTATTGGTAAGCTTTTTAAGACACTCATCTATAAGAATTTACTATGTGCGAGATAGCAATCAAAAGCTGACATTCTTGGATTTCCAATGAAACAATTTGCAGATTAATAGCTGTTCAAGAAACCGAGATCTGAACGGTAAAACATGTGTTTGCGTTTATATCGATAATTTCGATAGGCAAGTCTACTCCCGAGAAATGCCAAAAGAGGCATTTACGTTCTGTTTTATATCGTTGAAATACAGACGGTAGACGCTGGTGCAAAATAAATTTGACTGCCATAAAAATTGACATCTAACAGCTAAATATAAAGGGAAAACTTTCTGTAAACTTTCATATTTTTTTGGGACGTAGTCAAAATAGCGCCGCCAAAACAGCGCCGTTCAAAACAGCGCCCATACAAAAATAGCGCCAAATTGAAAGAGACTGCTATTAAATTTTTCAACCCCAATGTTTTTATACTTCTCATCAGAACTTGTAACTTTTGTTATTTTTTAAACATTTCTAAGCACCTTGCGCGTGTTTTGACAAACCGACAGATTATTTCATCATCAGAATCAAGTTTTATGGCCCATTTTAAATAAACAATGCGACACATTTTGTTTTTCATCGTTTTCACATTAAAATCTACATTAAAATCTTTAAATTTGGCGCTGTTTTGAACGGCGATATTTTTGTATGGGCGCTGTTTTGAACGACGCTGTTTTGAACGGCGCTGTTTTGGCGGCGCTATTTTGACTAGGTCCCATTTTTTTTTATTCACCTAATTTTTTGTTATAAGTTTTGGTACTTCTGTTGTTTGTTCCCCTCCTAACATCAGAGATTTTTTCGCTGTTTTTTCATGCAAATTTGGCATTTTTCCGCCAGCAACTTTCAAAAATTTCTCGACGATCGGTCGGTTCTCTAAAATTTTATTTATTAAGAACATTAAGAAGCACGGGCGCCGTAGGCGACGCCCTTGCTAGCCCGTGATGCGCAGCCGGGAAGTAACCTGCGCCACACCGTGTTTTTTTTATTGGCCCACCGCAGGTGCACTGAGAAACCACGTGATGCGCCATCCCCGGACCACATTCGTAAGCGGTACAACAAAAAGCAGAAGTACCAAAGTATTTATCTAATTTTATATATAGTTTGTAAAATTTGCTTTAAAATGTGACTTTTTTCAATTTTCACACTTTAGGCAGTACGGAGTCATGTCAATTCTCGTCATATGCGTATGGGTTCTACTGTCACTCTCCGTGGGCACTCTTTGATCGAAAAAAGAAGCAAGCGGTTGATTTTTTCAAGCATTATTAGTATTTTCGAGTAAAACTAAGTTTTTAAGGCATTTTAAGTGTTAATTTTGGTGTCAAGGCTAGATTAATCGTGCTTTTTAGAAAATCACCGCCACCACCGAGGATAGCCACTAGTCTTGAAGTAAGATTTTGAGCTTGGTAGAATGCAAGTAGCTAGGATTAACATTAATAAGTTGTTAAGTTAAAAATTATATGATTTGTCTATCATATGGTTGATTTCAACGTCGATTAGGCTCTGGAGCCAATATAAAGCTGCCCAACTATTAAAAATATTCAGAAATCAGCTTCTTTATTTACAAACCTTGATTTTCTTATCTAAATCTAGGTTTTTAGATAGTGAGTGGCAATGATCCAGCAAAAAAAGCAACCCATCATCGCAAGCCAAACCAAAACCGCCTCTAATAGTAAAAGAAAAAGGAGGTTGAAAAGGAAAAGGTGGGGAGATTTTTTTGTTTGGTAATAACAAATTTCTAGAAACCGTTGAGAATCGAAAAGTCGTTGTGATTGATGAAGACGGGGAAACAGCAACAAACCGTGTTTGATCCCGATGTGAGTCAATTTTTGAGTTTTGCTTACCTTCTTAATAGTTTTGTTGTCAGTCTGGTATAGTAAGCAGCATAAGTAAGCTCAGCCTGACTAACTTAATAGCGATGATCTTTTAAAAAGCTTGTGGTACAGGTTTCTCGAGTCTTTTAGTGCTCAACAGCGCTTTAAGCAATATATAAACATATAATGTTACGACTTTTACCTTTTCTTAACTATATTCTTTTATTTTCAGGATGACGATACGATCAATGGGGGCATTGCTTCGTTTTCCTACTAACAGAGTGCTCCCGTGTCGATTGAGATCTCTATGACTGGCAATGTAAAAATTTTACCCGGTTTTGTTCAAAGGTTTTTGCGTTTTAGACAAAAGTTCTAAACAAGACCGTCACCACGAAGCAGACTACACTCAAGGCAAAGGTTTTCTAGTAGTATTTGTTATTCACTATTTTTAGAAAACAGCAGCACCGGTGAACCCATACGAAGGATGACTTCAAGAAGTACTCGACAACGAGGAATTAAGACTTCGAATAAATTTTTTTAACAGCTTTTTTTTGCAATGAGCTTCTAGAAATTTTGTGAATCAATTTTTTTTGTACTTTTTCTTCATATGAAAGAAATTTATTTCCATTGAATCATTTAAATGATGGTATATCAAAAGAATTTCAAAGTTGCCACCAAAATGAAGGGAAAAGTACACGTTCCGATATGAAAAAGTAATGCCGAGTAAGCACGGGGAGATCGAGAGGAAAAAAGGGAAGGGATATCGAGGGAAAGAAGCGAAATCGAATTGATACAGGAATGTTTGGGGGAATTGAATTACGGTAACTGCGTTCTGCTACAGTACAATAAATAGGACTGCAGCCATCTAAAGGAGTACTGTAACAGTACCATAAGATGAAAAGGTACGCGGATTACGGTAACAGCAGGCTACTATAGCCTTTCCCACCAATTAGAGAAATCGTCAGTGACCTTGAATAGAATAAAAATCAAAAACAGAAAACGGAAAAAAGCACAAGATCACAACGTGTAAGTAAAATGTTTAGCGAGGGTTTTTTTCAAGGGAAAACAACTGATATTTGTCTCTTTGCCGAGAAATGAGCGCCGATTTGTTGAGAGAAAAGAGATAGATCAAAAGGAGAGACAAAAGGAGTCACAAAAAAAGCTAGGAATTGCTTAGGATTACAAAAAAACTAGAGTATATTCAGCTAAAAAGCTCCTAGAAATGAGATAAATGGTAATTTCATTCGTCGTCACCGCCATCTTCAGCCTCGGCCACGTGGACGGACGGAGAAGAAGATTGAGGGGTTTTTAGGTGATGAGAACCCTAGAATTTGAATTGGTTACTTTAGGATTTCGAGTTTTCTGTATTTGAATTGGTTACTTTAGGATTTCGAGTTTTCTGTACTACTCTACTCTACTTTACTATAATTTTCAGTGCGCTAGAAAGCTTGCGTTTAGCTCAAGAACGGACAAGAACGGACTGGACTCTCACCTTATACTCTTTTCCCATATGCTCGACGGTGTTCTTCCACTGTTCCACTTCGGTTTTGTCCTGTGCCAGCACGCCCAAATACGCCTCACCGATAATATCATCACCGGTACATGTTCTAAAATCTTTTTGATACAATTTTAGATATTTTAGATATTTTTTTCACTGATTTTTTGATCTTTAAAATCTTTAAGATTAAAAGTTCTTCAAAAATCTCATTTCAAATACAATTTCCCTTCCAAAAACTCTCAAATCAAGCCAAATTTGATTTAGAAAAACGTTCAAAGATCTCAAAAAAAAATATAGAAATCTTTTTTTCATATTTGTAGCTATTTTTGAGGATAATTTCCGTTTTTTTTCTCTAATGAACAATTAATTTTAAGCGATTTTCCCAGAACTGGACGAAAAGGGAATTTTTTAGGCTCTTTTAGGCTCTTTTTTTTCGGGTTTATTTTTAGATTTTCAAATTTACAAATATTTTAAAAGTTGAAAAACAAAAAAATCTCTTTTACCTTTGCATATCGTGCACGGAAATGGTGATTTTCGTATTTGCAAGCTCGTTTTTCGACGGATTAAAGAGAAACATCACCTGGAAATGCGAAAAGGTTTTGGGGAAATATAGCAATGAGGCTTATGTTCTTGCTTTTTTTTGAAAAAAAATACTCTTCTTCATCGATCTAATCGACTAATCATTTAATCATTTACGCGAATTTCTTCAAGTACAGTCGTTTCTCTCTATAACGGAATGGCAGGGACCAAAAAAATTTTTCCGTTTTATAGAGCTTTCCGTTATACCGTATTTTCTCTAATAGTAGTGCACCCAAAGCGTCGCCTAAATTCCTCGAAATCTCGAGAACCGCTTATCAGAACCTATCGATGTGGGGTCGGAAAATGTAGCTGACGATGAGATCTAGTGGGGAATTTGAGTGTTGAGCTTCTGGGAAAGCTTTGGAAGCCGTAAAATAGTCATCAACTCGGCTCGCCGGGGTGCACTACTATTAGGGAAAATACGGTATATAGCGTATATAGCGTAGCGTCAGCCGGGACCAAAGTTCGGTTCCGTTAGATAGAATTTTCGGCTATATAGAGAGTTATAGAGTCGACTATCATTATCATTATTATTATTATTATTATTATTATTATTATTATTATTATTATTATTATTATTATTATTATTATTATTATTATTATTATTATTATTATTATTCTTATTATTATTATCATTATCATTATTATTATTATTACTATTTAATTTAAGTCATTAGTTGCTCGAGAGGTCGATTCGGAGCTAACTCAAGGCCAATCCAAGATCTTCAAACTGTTCATCTTTTCTAAGAGATTCACGGAATCATTTGATTGTTTAGTGTACCAATAATTTAAGCTAAAGTCTATAAAAGCGTTCTCAAAAAGACCAGATTGATGAATTGAAGCCTTTTCGAAAACTCTGAACACTTTCACTCGTAACTACCAAAGCTCTTACATGAAAACTACCCGAAATCAGCCTATCAAATGTTTTTGATGCCATTTGATGAGCAGATTTTGAAAAAAGATTTGAAAACAGATTCTGAATTAGTACTTAGCACTTACTAGTACTATTACTAAGTACTAGTAAGTACTAGTAAGCTTTCCTAATAGATATATTCTTGCAAAACCGTACAGCTTCATTGTAAACAGCGGTGGTGGTACTCTTGAGGACGCGAGAGCATTTCGTTTTCGCTAGACCACCTTGATCGACGGTGATCTTCACGCAGACATCTGGAAAGCTTTGATTATAAGTTTTATATAAGTTTTATATAAGTTTTATTAGTTTTATTGAACTTTTATTGAACTTTTAACGATTCAGAAATCTTTTTTGACCCTTTCTCTTCCTAAACACTTCCCCGATTCCCTTAAAATCATCTCAATCTCTCAGTCATCTCAATCTCAATCTCGTTGCAACTCTCAACCGCTCAATTCGAGTCTTTCGATCAAATTTCAGCTTTTCCAGGAAAAATTCTGAAAGAAAGAAATCCCCAGAGAGTTTCGGAGCTAAATTTCGAGCTAAATTTGGAGTTTTCTTTTTTAGAAATCTTCAGACTTTTCAATGCAGACAATTTCGTAAATTAGGGCAGATTTTTTTTGTTTGTGAAAAGATTGGCTTTCATTGCTGATTCAGTTTTTTCAAGGGATTCAAATTTCTGCACAAATAAAACACGAAAATCCGAGTGAGTTTCGAATTTCGAGAACATCGTTTTGACGTCGAGAAAAATGGGGTTTCGTTTTTGTATCTTTTTGGGAAAGTTCGACACCAGTGATCGAAAGAAATAGAAGTTATGTCTATTGAAAAACAGTGATCAAAGTTCTAATCGGTAAGGTTGAATGGGTAATTTCAAATCTGTTTGGATTATGGTAGGATTACGGTAGGATTAAGGTAGGATTACGATAGGATTACGATAGGATTACGGTAGGATTACGATAGGATTACGACAGGATTACGGTAGGATTACGGTAGGATTACGATAGGATTACGGTAGGATTACGATAGGATTACGGTAGGTCACATTTTCAGACTTATAGAAACAAATTAGAATCGATTATGGTGAGAGCTAAGGGTTTTCTCCTTGAAATCTTCGATTTGAGCTCGGTTCTGTTCAGTTCTTTGTAAATTTGTAAACACACCGCTTCTAGTGCACTGAAATCTTTATTATTTGTTGTTTCAGAAAGAAAATGAAAGAAAGAATTCAGTGGGAATTTGCGAATTGCGAATATTAGAAGATCCCTTTTAAAAGTTTGATATTTTCAGTATTCATGATTCTCTGAGCCCTGCAATTGACAGTTTTCCCTTTCTTTTCTTCCAAAATTCTTTCCAAAAAGGAAAATTGATCATGAAATTCCATTTGTTAAAGGTTTAAATTTAAAATTAAAATTAAAAATGAGAATTTCTAAAAAATAATGATAACTTTGATTTCTTAGTTCTTTAGTTTTTATTTGAAAAAGTTAGCTTAATTCTTAAGTTCTCGCTTAACGCTCTCGATTTCCCGATATGAGCGTGGCCGAGTGGTCTTAAGGCGCTGGGTGTCAGTCTAGCGCCAAAAAAGGGGATTCTTGGTTCGCGCCTAGACCCACTCATTCATAATCGGCTACTGTATCAGAACCGTATTGGAACCGTATTGGAATCGTATTGGATCAGAATAGGAACCGTATTGGAACCATAGGTAGAATCTACCGTAAATACTGTAATAGTACCGCATCTCTATAATGACGATGCGGAGTGTTGTGTAGTCTAGCTTTGAACGCGTTTTTCTTGACACTGGTTTAAGCTACAATGAGCGCTTAGGTATCAAAAAATAGCTGAAATTCAGGGCTATTTTTTGATACCAAAACCGTATTTTTTGGAAGTACGGGTGCTTTGAAAAAAGTGAAATACTAAAAATACTTTTGCGACTACGCGACAGTACGAGGGGGAATGGGGTACTATTACAGTCTTTACGATATGTATGTCGTAACCGTTTACGAAATTCAGCCGCTAACGAATCATTCGTTAACGGGTGAATTTCGTAAACGGCTAAAATAGAAATTTTCACTCACCCGGCGCTCCAAGAAAACCCCATCTCGGCAAATCATCAGCTTTTTTGACGTTAATCGTTAAGCGACGAGCTTCTTTCTCGATGCAAGATGTGATGTGGATTTTCCCAAGTTTCTAAATGTTATATTAAAATATTATAATAGTTTAAAGATTGATTTACTTTATCGAATATCTAATCCATTTTCTAAAACATTTCTATTTTAGATCTAAAACATTTCTAACATTTTAGATTTCTATTTTTAGCATCTCCCATTCAGTTTTCCCCTCAAACAGCTCAATTTTTTTATTAATTAACTAAGATTTATTGTAATTTCTTGTAATTTCTTGTAATTTCTTGTAATTTCTTGTAATTTCTTGTAATTCCTATCAAATGAAACAAAAAAATAATAGAAATTGGCTGATTTAAAGCTAGTTTACGGTAGTTTATTGTAATAAAATTGTTTTAGAAAATGGATTAGATAAAGTAAATGAATATTTTGTCTTTGTTTGTCTTATTTTGTCTTTAGAAAACGTGAAATCCCTATTTCTCTTTTCTAGCTTATCTCTTGTTTATTTCAGCTTTCATTTTGCACAGCGGAAGTGTGTTTTTTTTTCAGAAAAAAGAGGATTTCAAAGTCAGAATTCGAAATTGAACTCTCTTCACTCATCACGCAATTTTCCGGGATCAGAATTTGAGGAAAAATTTGAGGAAAACTTTGATCAAAGCAGAAGTAGATCAAAGCAAAGTAGAATGGAAAGAATTTCGAATTTCGAATTTCTGTTTGCTTTTGCAGATGTATAATATGAAATGAAAGATGATGATTAAGAAGTGATCGAGATGGAGAATATTAGGGTAAAATGGTGATTGATGATTGCAAAAATGTAGATGTACATTCAAAAATGTAGACTTACATTCAAAAATGTAGATGTACATTCAAAAATATAGATGACTCATTCGCTAACCTTATTTCCGACTTGAGCCTTGAACTCTTCGATGATTTTCACCTCTCGTTTCGTGTTCAGTTCGCGGATTTCTCGGAGCGGAATCGTGCATTCGCCTAAAATCAAAGCAATCTCCATATGCTCACATAGAAGTACACGATTTACACAGTAATACATAGGGTTCCATGAATTTTCATTGGATTTTGTTAAGCGAAAGCATTGAATTCATTGATTGAAGATCAGATGAAATCAAAATCATCCAAATCAATCCAAAATCATCCAAAATCGGCTTCAAGTCTAAGCTATACAAAGTGCTTTGCGACAAAAAAGTTTTGAAGAAAAAGCTAATGAATTTTGGCGGCAAGAGGAGTCGAACCCGCGACCTCTCCCTTCCGTTCGTTTGAAAGACGCGCACCTTAGCCACTCGGCCATTCAGCCAATCGGCCACTCTTGGTTAACCACTGGGTTACTCGGCCCCTCGGGGTTAACCACTCGGCCACTCGACCCCTCATGGTTAACCGATGGCGCAGTGCGAGCGCTCTTGTCTCTAGCCCACACGACCCGAGTTCGACTCTCGTCCGCGTCAACAATTTTGATTTTTTAAAATTTCAAAACTTTTTTCACAACTACATGAAAGCCCAACTAACTATAAGTTATTTGAAATGATCCACTGGGCGCCGAGGAAAAGTTCCCACAAACAGAAAGACAGACACAGCTAGTAGATCGACTATCAGATGATTAGAAGCTCTAGTTTCATCTCTTCATCCCAAGGTTTCTCTTCTCCACTCACCAATGAGCACATCTTTTTGCAGTTTTGCCGCCCCACCAGCGTGATAGGCGCCTAAATGGATGGATTTCGTGTCCAAATCCTCGAGAGTCACATTGTCGAAGAAGAACTCCTGAAATTTCACTTTGATGAGCAATTCGAGCAATGTTTCAAGTTTAAATTTTAATATTTAATTGATTTTGATTGATATCTGCTAAAGATTTCATATAAAATCTTTAATTTTCAACGTTTTCTGAAATTCTTACGCCTTTCTTAGCGTTTAGAATTCAAAGTTTCAGCCTTTTTTTGCTTTTTGGTCATTTTTTTTCCTCATAAATCGAATTTGAGTTCGATTTTTGCCCAAAAGACATGAAATTTTCGCCCCAAATTTGCAAAGACAAATTTGTTTTGTTTGCTGAGAATTTGTTTTTGAAAGTTTTGAAAGAAGAAAACTGACTTGTTTTTGAGGGAAAATTTTTTTCCAAAAAAGGCACGTGCTCAGAAATTTGGATGTTTTTGAAGAAAAAAAAGGTCTTTTAGAAAGAAATTTTTTCTCAAATCTTGAAAAAAAGCAGCTTAGATTTATTATAAAATTTCCTATACTAGTTTTAAGTACAATTGACTCTCGATTTTACGATTTTACGCTTGTAAAACGTGGTCGAAATTTCGTGCGTAGCTGCCCTGCCTTCGCTACGCAGAAAGGAAGAATGTTTTCGAATTTCAAAATCAATAAATCGTTAATCGTTAATCAAGAGTTCAAAAGCAAGACTATATAAATATGTTGCAAGATTAGAAGTTTGCTTTGATTTGCTTAACGAATTTTAAGCGCTATACTTATTAGAGTGATGGTCCTTTCGTCAATCGACCTATATAGGAACTAAATGAACTAAACACGCTCATGTGGGGAAATCGAGAGCGTTAATCGAGCACTTAAATCGTCATCGCGAACGTATTAAGTCAGAAGCAGAGGCCAAAATCTATTATTTTTATTATTTTTTAAAAATATTCATCGAACTCTTTCCGCAAATTCATCTAAATCTAAAGAAAACATTTGTAAAATAATTCTTAAAATGTAAACAATCCTTAAAATCTAAAGTCTAAAATCTAAAGTCTAAAATCTAAAGCCCTTTCTTCTAAAGCCCCTTTTAAGGCAATAACTGTCACTCTCATCTATTCGTTTATCTCAATTATCCCCCAAGTGTCTATTTTGAAACTTGACTCATCTAAAATGTCGGGGGAACTCCCAGAAAAAAGAAACAGGCAATTCTCGTAAAATTCAATTTTCGCTTTTTATCTCATGAAGCAGAGAAAACGTCACTTTTGTCTGGAATCGGCTTAAAGGAAATGAATGAAATGTTCAAGGGATTAGTCGTTATTAGATTAGTCATCAATTTCTAAAAGGTAAATATAATCTAAAAGGTATTATAATCTAAAAGGTATACAGTAAATTTATGAGATTTTAAAGCGTGCCTTTTCTTACAAATTTATCCGTTAGAAAGAGCATCTTTTAGAAAGAATTTGGAATGGAAAATGAATGAAAATGGATGAAAATGAAAGGAAATGAATGAAAATGAATGAAAATGAATGAAAATGAATGAAAAATGAAAGTTTAAGACTAGATCTGGGTAATGTTAGCCCTAAGCTTCGTTATGTTCACCATAAAACCCCAATAATCGTTTGGAATTGATTGAGGAAAAGGAAAATACGAGTAAACACTAGCAATACTAATAAAATACAAGTAAAATCGACTAAAAATCAATTAGCAAGATACTTATTTGTACTATGTATTGACACTTTTATGTCAACCAAAGCCAGTTATATCCGGCTAATTGTAAGCTAAAAGTTCAAAGTTATCGCCTAATTTCTGGCCTTACCTTCTCAGCTTTAACAGCCTACCAATAGGCTGTTAACCTTTAACCTTTAACAGCCTACCAGCCCTTCCCTAATAGATCTATTTAGCTACACTTATCTAAGCTACTTGTTTTAAAACTGTAACCTGAACATATCTTAGCATGTTCGTGCTCTAAGTACCACCCCCAACCCGAGTGCGACGGCCCGGGTTCGACTCCGGGTAGTGCAATTTTGATTTGTCTAGTTTTTATTTTAAATGGCGCCACTATATTATCTTTAAAGACTTTTAAGATTTAAAGACTATAAAACGTTCTAGTGTTTTTAGCTCAAAGACAGCTGAGAAAAAGCGCGTATAGAGAGATGGACAGACAGACAGACAGACAAACAGACAAACAGACAGACAAACAGACAAACAGACAGACAAACAGACAAACAGACAGACAAACAGACATTTCTCTTATATATAGTAGATTAGATTGACGTTAATACCAAAAAGCTTTACCTGATTATAAACTGGATCTCTTCCCCGTTTCACTTCAGACGATTGCTCTTTGCCTGTTTTATGGCTTGGAATTGAGACTCGGCATTGCGCGTGGATCTCCATTTCGGGCTTGAGTTGGCCAGCCAAAGCTAGAATTTGATTTCAATATTATATTTTAAATATTTGTACAATAGTTTAGCTCTCTTTCCCTTTCTTTTCAATGTACTTAACAGAAAAATGAAGAATTCGGCACTACAAAGATTGTTTATTTCAATTTTTTGAGCACAGTAAACACTTTTGATTCAACAAATTTCTTTTGAAAAGCTCCAAAGAACCAAAAAAACCAGAAAAACATTTGAATCCTTTTGAAAATTGAGTTATGAAAACGAATTTTCCTTTTTCTTTTATTTGCTCGCCCCCGTAAAACAAAATTTATTTGAAAGAATTTCGTCGCCAACTCGATTCTAATGAATTTTTCGGGAAAAGAGCGAATGGGGATTTTTCAGGAAAGGAAACTTGATATCTTTCCACTAAATGATGGACCCGTTCACCAAAAACTGGGAAAAAACAGAATTCAATATGAAAGACAATATGGAAAAAGAGATCACGTCAATATATGGAAAAAAGATCGACGAATGCAGTCAGCGGGATTGAACCCTTGACCTTCCCGACCCAGACACCTGCTGGGAGTCTGGGCTCTTAGCCACTCGGCCACGACGACGTTTTGGCGGGGGCTTTAAAACGGGTTAATATTCTCGGCACTCGTCTCTTTTCTTCAATTCTCCTTTCTTCGAGAATACAGAGAAAATGGATAAATTAGATGAGATTTTCAATGCCTTCATGGCCGACTGGCTAAGAGCCTCGTTTCTCAGTCGAAAGGTCGAGGGTTCAATCCCACCGGCTACTTCTCTAGTTCAATTTCAGGAATCTTGCTTCTTTTTTCCAGATATATAATTTTTTCTAATATTTAGAGCTTAGGATTATGCTTTTGAATTGTTTATAGCACTTTATTATTGTTTAGAGCACTTTATTATTGTTTAGAGCACTTTATTATGAATAAATGTATTTTGCGAATCCACTCGTTATTTTCTAGATAAGTCTTCAGTTATTTACTGGAATTTAGAGGGAAACACGTGCTCTTTTACATGGTGGCAAATTACCCCCTTGGGTTTATTCTTTTTCGAAAAAGCAGAGAGAGAAATGAGAGAAATGTGGAGATTTCCTCAACTTTCTCAACTCTAGAAAAGACTATGGGGAATTTTGAGTAAAATAGTGATATTTGGGTAGACAAAGAGAAAGTTCCGGGTTCAGAGTTTTTAAAATCGATTGGCTTAGTGCTTTGAAAGCTATTTTGAACAATTAGATCTTAAAAAAAGATCTTCTGCAAGCCAAAAAAAGCCTTGGCCACTTGAGCCTTGGCCTTTGGCAACAGGATTTGCTGTAATGTAATGGTAATGATGCTTATGCACAAGGCTCAAGTGAATCAGGACTGCAGCAAGCAGCATTTTCCCGATTTTACCGATTTCTTTGCTTTTACTAATCAAATCCTGATCTGAATCCGATAAATTTCAGTCTTTGGAATGTTCTTGAAGGAAAAAACGCGCTGAAAACCATCGAAACCGAATTCCAGGATCGATTCGCTTGATTGCAATAATCTTGTTACATTCTGTACGACTTGTTACATTCTGTACGTCTTGTTACATTCTGTACTTTCAAAGTACAGACCCGACTCAGTTGTTTTTAAGTTCCTTAATCAGACTTCATTTTTGTAAACAATCTTTTCAGCTTTTTATTTGACGTAAGAGTTCAAGCAAGAAGACGAAGACGGAAAAAAAACTAATTGGGCATCTCCCTTTGATAAATATTCAGTGGAGACGTCAGCAGGGAAGGGAGTAATTACGAACGGGAAATTCTAGAAAAAACTAAGGAAAATTTTCTGAGTAATGCTTGAGTTACAGTAGCATTAGCTACAGTAACCGACAAAATAGTAAAAGTGAGTAGTTTCGGTGGTTTAAGTCTTTATAGTACAAGTTGTACTAGTCGTACAACTAGTACAACTAGTACAACTAGTACAGCTATTACAGCTAGTACTATAAGCAGCTAGTACTATAAACAACTAGTACTATAAACAACTGGTACTGTAAACAACTCGTAAAAATAGTACTATAAAGTGCAACCAGTACAACTAGTACTATAAGCTACAACTAGTACGACTAGTATTAGTACAACTAGTACTATAATCTACAACTAGTACAACTAGTATTAGTACAACTAGTACAGCTAGTACAGCTAGTATTGGTACAACTAGTACAACTAGTATTAGTACAACTAGTACAACTCGTACTATTCATTGTCTGTGCTGTGCTCACCTAGTGCACTTTCCTCATTTTTCTCCAGACAAAGACAAAGAAATCTCTCCTTTCTTATATCAAGCTGCTTATTGCTATTGCTGAAAGCTAAAGAATTCAGTGCACGAGAAATGGTGTGTTTACAAATTTGAGTACAAAGTAACCTCAATTAAACAAAAAGATCTTCTTCTTTAACCATTTTAGGTGTACTTTGAGCTCAAAACTGGTTAAGAAGCCCTTTTCTGATCGAGGGAACTCGTGCCACCATAGCTCAGTCGGTTAGAGCATTGGTTTGCGGGAAGGTCCCTTTCTCAAGGGCGCAGGTTCGACCCTTTTGCTTCTTTTGGCGGCTCAAGAAAGAAAAAAAGCCCAAGAAAGAGAATGGAGAATGTTTTGGATTCTAATAATAGCTGGAATCCAATACTGGGTAATTTAATCGCCAAGATCCTTTCAGGGAAAAGGAGGTCGGTTTTTTGATACTCTGTGATTTGAGCCTTTGAAAGTAAACATTAGCTAATTTTAAATCAAAAGCTAATATAGAATTGAATTAAATCTAAATAATAAAGTTAAAAGCATCAAGTTTTTTTCATTTTTTTTGTCTAATTATCGATCTTTTAAGGATTCTAAAGCAAAAAAAGCAAAAGTCTACTAGATTTTCGACTTTTTAAGTAGTTCTTTTAACTAGTTCTACTTTTAAATCAAAAAAAACTAACCTTCAATCTTTAAAATATTCACGCGTAATCGTTTCCGAACAGGGAAATGTTGAATGGTGCAGTAAAGAAGACCCAAACCAGTGGAAACCGGTTGCTCAGCGGCTCCATTGTTGAACGATGATGAGCTGGGGACAGTGCCCGGAGTGACAGCGCCTAGAAAGTACAGTACATCTGAAGTACATCTGTCTAGATCTGTTCGAGAGCTTGTACTATTGTTTGACAAGATTGTTGCAAGGTTTTTGGCCATTAACGGCTTGAAAAGAGGTCATTAACGGCTTGAAAAGAGGCCATTAACGGCTTGAAAAGAGGTCATTAACGGCTTTGATTTTGGTAGATTCTGACTTAGAAGAGTTCCTAGATCCATCAGAAATCAGTCTTAGCTGGCTTTTGACTTGGAAAAGAAAAGGAAAAGCTAGAAAAGGTCTAAACTTGTCAGAACTAATCAGAACTGTCAGAACTAATCACAATTCCTATTTAGCAAGTAATAGCCATCAAATCTGATAGTATCAAAGCTCTAGACTTACTAGCTCGTCGAATAAGTATCGGTTCATTCGGTGGTGAGGCTCGAGAGCTATAGAGTGACGGGTCAAGCCCGTGCGCGAGCGCATCTCCGCCAACCGAGCCAGTCTCACTGTTCGATTTGGAGGCAAGCTGAAAGGTTAATCTTTAGTTTTTTCACATAATACTTTACTAGTGCTAGTACAGTAAAGTACAGTAAAGTACTGTACTAGTTTTGTACTAGTTTAGTACTAGTTTTCTACTAGTTTAGTACTAGTTTTGTACTCGTTTTGTACTTTACTGTACTAGTTTCGTACCTTATCACATTTGTAATCGTTAACCTTGAGGCTTAATGCTTTCTATTTTAACCTTTTCCTTCATTTTTCTTCTTTAACTTTAGTTTTAGAGTTTTTTTTAAACAATCTTAGAAAATTTTTAAAGTTAAATGCCTATTTATAAAGTAAAATTACTATTTTTAAAGTTAAATTACTATTTCTAAAGTTAAATTACTATTTTTAAAGTTAAATTACTATTTATTAAGTCAAATTACTAGCTAAGTTTCGCTAAATTTCAATTGCTAACGCCAAATTTGTCATTTGAGCTAAAGCTTTCCAATTTTACCCTCTTTCATTGGCTAATTCTAAGAGAAATTCTTGAAATTTACCTTTTCCTTATCATAGCCTAATATTCACAGCGATTCTAAGCACCACTTTTCTTTTAATTTTTTCGATTTTTAAAATCCCTATAACTTTGTCCAGAGATCATATTTTCACGAGCTTTTTTTGATCATTTTAAAGAGGAGATTTCAGGCTTTCATTAGCTAATTCTAAGAGAAATTCTTGAAATTTACCTTTTCCTTATCATAACCTAATATTTCAGCAATTTTAAGCACTACTTTTCTTTCAATTTTTTCAATTTTTTAAACCCCCATCTTTCACGATTTTTCTGTCTTATGAAAATGAAATTTTTGTGAAATTTTCAAACTAAAAGCATCGTTTTTTTTTGAGAAAATGATGCTCTTTTCGCTAAATCTAAGCATTTTTTATTGAAAATCGAGTAATTATCGAGGAAAAGCCTCAATTATAGGCAATTATCGAGAGGAAATTTCGGATTTTTTTTCAAAATTTCTGATTTTTGATAGCTAAATGGCAAATGTTGATGTAAATTTCGAATTAAATAACGAAATTTTGATTTAAAATCGATATTTAGATCAGAATTTATCGAATTTTCTTTAAAGAAAGTTTCTTTAAAAGTTGATTTTTAAGAAATTTCGATTAGTTTATCTAAAGAAAGGCCAAAAATCACTTCAAAAGAGTAAAAAGAAAAAGAAAATCCAGTTAACAGACTTGAAATTAGCTGATTAGCTTTTAAAAGCATTAGATAAATGTTTTCGAAGAGCTATTGCTTGTTTTTTTTGTTAGATTTTCAGTGATGAACTCGGCTCTTCCGTTCCGGATTTTTTAAACGGGTCATCACACTTTGAAAGCCTATAACTTTGTCTAGAGATCAGATTTCCACGAATCATTGTAATCATTGTAAAGAGGAGATTTTAGGCTTTCAAATGATACCAAATAGAGCTTGATTGGATCATCGAGTTCAAGAAAATCAGAGCCAACTCTGAGCAAGTGGTCTATCCGACTCGGGAGTGGATTTTGAGTCGTCACAGTTTGAAGGTCTATAACTTTGTCTAGGAATTATATTTCCACGAATCATTGTAATCATTGTAAAGAGGAGATTTCGGCCTTTTAAATGATACCAAATAGAGGTTGGTTGGATTTTTCATTCCCATACAAACCAACCGACAAAACACCTGAGTTGGCTAGGCCTCATTTGCTCAGAGTTGGCTCTGATTTTCTTGAACTCGATTATCCAATCAAGCTCTATTTGGTATCATTTAAAAGCCTGAAATCTCTTCTTTACAATGATATAAAAAGTTAGCGAAAATCTGATCTCTAGACAAAGTTATAGGCTTTCAAAGTGTGACGACCCGTTTAAAAAACCCGGAAACTAAGCAAGAGCCGTGAGCACTCTGAGTAAAATCGGGGATTCATTTCGCCAGAAAGGGTTCGTTTACAAAATCGAGCACAAAGTACACTAGAAAACGGTTAAACTCAAAGATCTCTATGTAGCTTCTACAGTTATCCATCATTTTTTTTTTAAAAAATCCACAAACGAGAAGAATTTCGGAAAAAGCTCGCTCCCTAGAGAATTCATTTCTTCAAATTTTCATCCTTTTTCCATTCTTTTCTTTTTTTATTTTAAATTCTTGATTTTTTTTCGAAAAAAGAGAAAAACTCGCATCATTTTTGCGAAAAAAAACGATGAAATTGGGTTTTTGCGTTTTTTTTTTTTTTTTTTGAGATCAGAACTTGAAAGGGAACCTTTTAAAAGTAAAAAAAAAGAGGTTTTTATTTGGAGAATCTTTTCCTAAACTTTAACACTAGAAAGGTTACGTTTACAAGTACACTAGAACACTAGAAAGGCTTACGTTTACAGCTCAGAGTACACGAAATCTGTGTGACTAAATTGGGCAATGAAATTTGATTGTTTTTGATCAACTTTGCTCTTTCAAAAAATCTTAAAATACGTATTTCTGAGTAAATTTTACATTTTTATATTAAACTTTGGGATTATTGAGATTTCCGCGAAAAGGATTATTCTATTTTTGAGGCGAATTCTTTGAAAAGACTAGTCAAATGGGGACAATCTTTGTCAATGAAAGCGGCCTTCTACACCGAAGCGCTATGCTAAACGGGAGAGCGATCACGCGACCGCACAAAGAACCCAGCGATACTTTCTTTTACGAGCTACGAACAGGTAAAACTCAGGTAAAACTCAGGTAAAATCCCCGTTCAAATTTCTCCCATTTCCTTTAGCTCAATTCGCTAGATAAACAGCAAAAAGCCAAAAAAAAGCCAAAAATAAAGCTTTCCCCCTTTATTTGCTGATGATCCTTTAGATATTGGCTTCGTTTCGCAATTTTTTTCCCCAAAAAATATCCACTATCGTCTCACTTACGATAACGAGTTTTTTTTTGGTGGAATTCGAGTGGGTTTTCCTAGATCGAATTGCCTTTTTTTGGCCCTAAATTGAAAGGAAATACGATTCCTCAGGTAGCTTCGGATAAACTCGATTTCATAGTGGTCCCGAGTAAACCCTTGGGACTCTGGGACCCTGGGACCGTAGGATTCTGACCCCGCGACTCTGAGACCCTAGGATTCTGGTATCCTGGAACCCTGGAATCCTGGAACCAATATGAAATTGGGTTTATCCCAAGCTACCTGGGGACCCTGGGACTCTAGTGGCCCCATAGGGAACTCTTGGGACCCCAAGACCCTGGGACCCTGAGACGCTTGGACCTGGGGACCCTAGAACCCTAGGAGCTTGGCCCTGCGAGCCTGGAATTCTGCGACTCTCCTGGACCCTGGAACCCTGGGGCCCTGGAACCCTGTGGCCCTGGAACTCTGCAACCGCCCTAGACCCTGGAACCCTGCAATGCCCTGGACCCTGGGGCCCTGAGACCCTGTAAATGCCCTAGGCCCTGGAACTAGAGCCTGGAACCCTGCAATGCCCTCAAACCTGGGGCCCTGAGACCCTGCAAATGCCCTAGACCTTGGGACCCTGGGACCGTGGCCTTGTCAACTTATAGTGAATCTAGTGTGGTCTTGGAGAAGCTGCTTGTTTACTTTTGCAAAGGCAGGTTCTCTGGCACACCGCAGTGTGGAATTGATTGCGCATCTTTTAAGTGAATCTCTTAGTGTTTTCAGGAGAAAGACGGTTATTTCGGTGGGCCAGAAGGGTGAAAGTAGGGCGAAGTCGGTGAGCACAAAGTACGCACAAAGTACGCACAAACTACGCACAAAGTGTTTAGGTTAGTGGATGGCTAATCTAAGCACAATTCTTGAAAGCTTTAAAAGCTAGAAGTTTCGCATGAGAGTTAGGTATTGGTTTTTTGTTTTTTTGACTAGAATGGCTCATAATTATCGGCTCATAATTACCCGTCTGAGGAAAGTGATCCAAAAATTGATCGTCGACATGAATGATTGGGAAAAGAAGAAGAAGAAAGAGAAGAAAGAGAAGAAAGAGAAGAAAGAAAAGAGAAAGAATTGAAAGATTTGTATTGAAAGTTTGATTTGAGAGAAAATTTGTATTTATTTAGAGGATTTTCAGTAAAAAAAAAAGGTAAAAAAGGGGAATCTTTTTCCCAGAAATTGTCGCCATTACAGAGCAATTTGCATTCAAGATTTGTAGCCATAAAAGCCAAAGATACCGCTAAAGAAAACGAAGAAATGAGTGAGCCAGAAAGGGCTTTTGTTGTGACAATTTTTGCGCACAAAGTACTCTTAAAAAAGTTTTATGCCAAGCGTTTTTTTTTTCGGTTGCTAAATCAAGATTGGCTTTGTCCTTTTACTCTACGAGAGATTTCTGAGCTCTGAGAGCTCTGAGCCAGCCTTAGAACACCAGCGTTACGATTTGATTGATGCACAGCCTCAGCCAAAACTCCAAGCCAAACTCCAAGCCAAACTGAAGCTCGCGAGTCGCGCAGTCACCAAGTGATCACCCTTAATACTAGAACGAAGAGTAAACTCAAGCTCAGGTGACTACTCAAGCTCAAGCTCAAGCTCAGGTGATTACTCAAGCTCAAGCTCAAGCTCAGGTGACTACTCAAGCTCAAGCTTAAGCTCAGGTGACTACTTAAGCTCAAGCCAAAGCTCAGGTGACTACTCAAGCTCAAGCTCAAGTTCAGGCGACTAATCAAGCTCAAGCACAAGTTCAGGCGACTACTCAAGCTCAAGCTCAAGCTCAGGTGACTACTCAAGCTCAAGCTCAAGTTCAGGCGACTAATCAAGCTCAAGCTCCAGTTCAGGCGACTACTCAAGCTCAAGCTCAAGCTCAGGTGACTACTCAAGCTCAAGCCAAAGCTCAGGTGACTACTTAAGCTCAAACCAAAGCTCAGGTGACTACTCAAGCTCAGGTGACTCAATCAAGTCACCTAGTAACCTTAAAACAATCCTAATTTCAAAGAATTTCAAAGAATTCCCAACAATTTCCCTTCTTCATCAACAAGTTCACGATTTTCCCCCTTATATCAATTCCTGCCTTTCAATGCCTTTCAATTATTCAAATTATACCAATCTTTTTTTCTCCTCTTT